TGGTATTTTTGTATCCTTTACAGCAGAGGGACAGTTTGGCAGTTCTTAAGAGGGCTACAAATGAGGTCTAAATTAGTCAATACTTAATTTTTATCATTGCTTTTCTTTGTTTCATAGATACAGTATTTTATATGATATATTTGAGTGAGGAGGTATTTGGATTAATATGAAATATGTATAGATAGTACAGTGTTCTAAACTATGGTTCATAAAGTTAGGAATAATGTGACTGATAAATGCTGGATTTCATCTGTGAGTGATACTAGAAATTTGAAAACTTATCCTTTTATCATTGTGCAAAACAATTGTGTTTTTACACTTGGATTATACAGTTGTGTAAAGTTCTGCTCCTTGTGCATTAAGAAAAATGTGTAAGAACTAGAAAGCATCCAGCAAATGGCAAATGAAATCATCAAGAGGCGGTAATGGTTTAAAAGATTTATACCCGTCAGTGTGGAATGATCCTTGGGGATATAATTAGAGATCTTATAGTTGAAAGGGAAATCTGAGTCGATCTAATCCAACCTACTACATTGCAGAAATTTATCTTATGATAATCTTGATAAATGGCTGAGCTTCCTGATTGATTCCTGGGCTGTGTAGTTACTAGTAGGCATTCTGAAGACATGCTGCCTAGGTCTGCATCCCAGCTCTATCACATACTGGTGAAGTGACCCTGATCAAATTTTAGCCATTCTGTGCCCCATTTTTCTGGCCTACTATTCCCAGCAGTGGTGTCCCTGAAAATAGGCAAAGATGAGAAGGAACCTGACCTCTGACCCCCTCCCATCTAATATCAAGACATTAGTTGGAATAAAGTGAATGTTAGTGTTATACATCCCATGAAATAGTATGTACAGGGACTAGTAGTTACCTTTAAAAAAAAAGAAAAAGAAAATTTTTAGTATAGATTAGAGTGGTGAAGAGGGAGAGGCTTTATAGAACAGGTGACTGTTGAATGAATTTCAATTGGTTACTGCACTCCCTATTTTCTCTTCTGTAATGATATAAATCAGTTCTGTTCTTTTTGTGTGACAGTTCTCCACCTTACCAAATGTAAAATTATAAAAAGCATAGTTTAGGCGAAAGTAAACGTTTCCCCCTAAAGTTCCATAGTTTTACAGTGTTTTGTATATTTTCAATAAAATTTAGGAATATTAAAATGGACCACTAGTGAAGAGCTCTTTAATTCAAGGAATGATCTGAGTTTGGGAAATTCAAAGGGAGTTTTAAAGTATTCTGAATAGTGTATTAGATTCATTAGTGGTGACAGACATTCAGAATAAGAGGGCTTAAACAAGAAAGGAGCGTTTGGCTCTCCTGTAAAAGTTTGAGCAGGTAGTTGATAAGACTTGTCATGCCTAGCAGAGTCAAAAGTAAGGGTTCAGAATGGTGGCTTTGAAGTTTCAGGGTTTGGGATGGAGGAAGGGATGAAGAGGAAGCTGCCAGGGACATTTCTACTTACATGTTTTGGTTTGGATCTAAAATCTCCCCTAAATTCCTTGTGTTGAAGACTTGGTTGCTAGCTCATGTGCTTTGAGGAAGTGGTTGCATCAACAAGGGCTCTAACTTCATCAGTTGATGAGTTTATAGCTGAATAGGTGGTTAGGATGTGGGGCCCAGTTACAGGGCATTGGTCATAGGGGTGTGCCCTTGGGGACTTTCTTGCTGGCACATTCTGCTTCCTGGCTGCCATGAGGTGAGCAGCTTTCTCTGCCATACCATTACACCATTATGTTTCTGCCTCAGTACAGGTCTAAATACAATGGAGCCAGATTACCTTTGACTGAAACCTCTGAAATCCTGAGCCAAAATAATCCATTTCTCCTCTACACTGTTACTCTCAGGTATTTTGTCAAGGTGATCAAAAGCTGACTAATACATGTTATTGGCCAGAACATGGCCACATCCAGTTACAAGACATGCCAGGTTGCAGTGTGTATCTAAGTAGCTGTTTGCTCAGGTGTAATTTGGAGACATATGTGGGAATGAAAGGTGCAAGTGGATATTGGGGGACAAATACCAGTGTGACAGAACCACTTCATTTACCACTTATATCCCGAGTGTAATATAAGTATAATTAGTAGTTTTTACCATAGCTGGCATTCATTAAATCGCTGTTCACTGGGTGCATGTCCTTCATTGTCCCTTATAAAATGGCTGCTGATCAAGATGTTTACTTATATACATAATAAATTACGGCAAGTCTGTCCATCTTCATTACTTTCATAATGTTCTTTCTCATCTACCCTTTACAAACACAGTATTCCTGATAGTCTTTAGACAGATTAAATACCATACAAAATTTACTTCAGGTCTTTCATCACTGCTATTTTTTCCTCTACTAAAACTTGGAGGCCTATTAAAAATCTTTTCATGTGTCTAATCAACATATCCCTCACAGGTAGAACGTATTTAGCAAAGGTTTTTAGATTGAATAAATGAATAGGAATAAAACTGATGAATGTAAGCCCTTTAATTTACATAAAGTTCATGTCAGTATATATGAAGTTTTTATTCTTAAATCTGGTTTTCAGGTGGAGTGTGATTATGAAAAATATTTTTGACTTATGGTTAAGTACTGATTCACTTAGGGAATTACTAGGCAAAAGAGGCTAGTATAATTCAGTAAAAAGGGGGAACTCTTAATTTCATTTGACCCCTTGTCATCAGTTATGTAATTAGCTTATCAGTATGCTTTACCATTTTAAGGAAGACACCATTTCTTTTTCAGTGTTTCACAGAGAAAATTTTCTTTATGTATAAGGATAAACAAATCAGTTATTTCCTCAGATCTCATAGAAAAAGTAATATTTTACCATTATATCATTTTCTGAGTGAATTCATTTACTTTTTCATTTGCTTGTTTTCCAGCTTAACCACGTGACAGTAAAAACAAAACAAAGCAAAAGATCCACCTGCTTGGCTGTTAGTCTTTTCTCTTCTTTGATCTGGGAAGATCACAGTAGATAGTGATTTTACTTATCAAATAGGAAGAGTTGACTTCTTCCCTATTATATTGACAAGAGGATTACAGTGAGGTGACCTTCCTTGAAGCCATCAGGGATTTGTAGAGAGATGTCTTGTTAGGTCCTGCGTGTTAGACAATTGTTTAGGTATTATAAAATCCCAAAGGTGAGAAATAAACTACGCAGACATCAAGTAACTGTTTCAGTTATTTTCACTGAATAGCAGGTCCCTGAAATTTATCATTTTTTGGAGTCGTGTAAATGAATTTTAGTGAATTTGGGTCGCTTAAACTTGGTTTGTCTCAATTTGTGTATGTCCTGTGAAAGTAACTTTAAGATTCAGTAAAGTTTGGGAGATAATTTACTGCTTAAGAATGTTACTAAGATAAAAGTAACTTCGTGCGACAGGAAACTCAGTTCTTATTAAATTGGTCATTTCATGTTTGGATTACTCTGACTGGGCATTATTGTCTTGTGTGATTAAACATGTTGGTTCCAAAGTCAGACAGCTCTAGGGCACATGTGGTGCCACCATTTACCCATGTAATCTTGGACCAGCTGTTTACCTTCTCTGTGCTCAGGTTTCTCACGTACAGTGAAGGATAGTAATATTCATAGAGTTGTTGTATTGAGGGAGCAGAGCAACTAGCACTTAGAATAATGCTTAGTGTATATTGAACACTTGCTAAATATCATTAGTTGTTGGTTCTTTTCATTGTTATTACTATTTTGTCATAATGAGTGAAGTCTGACTTCAAGAAATACTTAGATGACATCAGCTGACTTTATTTCTAGCATAGATTATGTACCATGAAGTGAAATAGAGGACACAAGTTTGGCAGAGGAAGAGAAGATGAATGCTGAATTTAATTTTAAACATGTTGAATTTGAGGTGTTTGTGGGATATTAATCTGAGAACTGAAAAGTACCTATGGTTTGATACTGAAAGATCTTTTGTGACCCTTTATTTTCAGTAGGTGAATGGAGGCAGAGTCCTGATGACAATGAATTTCAGAATGGTAATGAGCGAGGAAGGGAAGAAAATAAGTATAGACTACTGTTTTGAGAAATTTTATGAGACAAATGTTGGAAACTAAAGGAGGATACTGGATACATGGAAGATTTTTGAGGGAAGTGTTGATAGGCTGAGGAAAAAAAGGTATTTGGGAAGAAAAATGTGAAATATGATGAAAAGTACCCCTTCTAGGGTTAGGTTCAAGGATACTAGTTGATGGGACTGGCCTTGAGCAGAAGGAGGAACACAAGTCTCTGCAGCTGGAGGAAAGAAAGGTGGCATAGAAGCCTTTAATACAGGAGAGCACTCTTAATAACTTCATTTTACCCAAAGAGAGAAAAAGGGAGTTTGTGTGCTGAAAGGAGTCAAGGTATGGATTTTGAGGAGAATAGGGAAGCTTTAGGAATTGAGGGAAATCAGAGAGATGGCCGACAAGTTTGTTTGCTAATTGAGGGATTCTTTTCATTTGAGCGGTATTCAAGGGTTATCTCCATAGTGTGGATAAAATGAATATATTATATGAAAAAAGCATATTGTTTAATTTAACATGGCTTTATGGAAAAAGCGAAAAAAGGGCCACGTGAATTTTCTGATGAGACTAATGAAACTAATTCTAGATTTTTAATTTGTTACAGCAATTTATTTTTCTATAATAAATAGATTTAAGCAGAAGAGGAGAAATAAGGAGAAAATATAGTAGCTTCTATTCTGTTTAAAAGTTGTTCTGAAGTTGATTATATTTTTATGTAGGAGAATAGCATTCCATAGATCTTTCCACGGATGTATAGTCCAATTCTCTGCAATACTGAGGAAGAGAGCTGACCAGGGTGTGGTGTCTAAACTGCTCTTGAGGAACACTGCTCACCTAGAAGCCACGGTGCCAGAGCTTCAGCTCTGTGCAGCAGATGATGCAGGCGTGGCTTAACTGTGCCAACAAGTCTAGGGCACAGAGGGAGGAGGCCTGAGTGATGACTATGCTGACATGACAGCACATTTCCGCTTTTTCTTTTCTTTAGTTGGAGAACATCAATTGACAGGTCATAAAGTGGCAGTTAAAATATTAAATAGACAGAAGATTCGCAGTTTAGATGTTGTTGGAAAAATAAAACGAGAAATTCAGAATCTGAAACTCTTTCGTCATCCTCATATTATCAAACTGTAAGTATTTTATACCTGATTATCAGAAAACTGTCTTGAAATATTTTAATAGAATTTTACAGATACTTATCTTGAGTTATCCTTACAGAAATATTACTTTTTCATATTTATTTAATTGATGAAATAATACTTCTTTGCACACTCTTGATTTAGAATTAAAGGTCATAGTTTCCAAATTGGTATTGCGTTCAGGTGATAAATGCAGCCTTGAAAGTTGACTCTTTAGTCTGTACTTTAGAGGTCACATAGACATTGGATATTCCTAAGTTGGTTCATTTTTATAATTTTTTTTAGTCACTTTCCACTAACATACCAGTATATTTTGTTTTTGGAAAGCAGAAAGTAATTGTTAAAGATTATCTACCATGGTATATAATTTGCAGAACTGCCAATAATTCTGTAATTGCCAGTAAGTACAATTTTTAGGAAAGCAAATGAATTATTTTGGGAATAATTATAAACTTTAAAGATAAGGAAATACTAAGAGAACTAAATAAGGTAACTAAATAAAAGATAAACACATAAAATATATGTTTAAACCCGTAAAAATTTATATAGTAAATATGCAGAATTATTCTTTTAAATTGTTTGAAGTTACAGTTTAATGTTCATTGAGAAAATGTAACATCTTTAGGCACTGAATTTTTTTGGGGGGGGGTACCGGGGATTGAACTTGGGACCTTGTGCTTGCGAGGCAGGCGGCGAAACCACTGAGCTAAATCCCCAGCCCTGAAAATTATTTTTAATTGTAAAGTTTAGTACAGTTTTATAAATATTAATTGTAGTTACTGAGTACCTGATAGAGGCAAGAAACTGCTGAACATTATATCTATGTGGCCTCATGTTATCCTCATGATAACCCGATATAAGATAGTCATATTTTATGGACAAGGAGACTGAATAGCTAGTGAACATCTCAGCTTGTCCAAGGTGATATATAGCTAGTAAGTTGCACAGCTGGCAGTTTAGTTCCCTGGCTGGCACTTGAATACCCTGCTATCAATCTGTATTCTGGGAGTCTCAAAACTGAGTTCCATAAATCTCTTTCAAAGGAAAAGTAAATTTGTGCATCCTTGATTTTAACTTAATTAAAAAAAAATTTTCCATTACTACCCCCCCCAAATTTACCATTATTTAAATGTGTAGAAACAAAGAACTAGGTATAAACCCCATATGTGTGTAGTTTCAAAACAATTATGAAGCCAAAATAAGGTTAAAATTTAAATGCAAGTAAAACAAAATGACATTCAGTCCAGGCAGCGTGGCACATACTTGTCATCCCAGCTGCCCTGGAGGCTAAGGCATGAGGTTCTTCTAGTCCAACCTGGGCCACTGAGACCTTTTTTCAAAATAAAAAAATATTTTTATATACTATATAAAATATATTATTTATACTATATACTTTGGGCCACATTGCCTCTTTAATTGTAGATCTGAATTACAAAAATGGTACTGTGTATTCTTGCTACTGAACAAACATTAATATAACTTGTAATAGAGTGATTTAAACAGAGAAGGAGGCCTCATGCTTAGAGTGGCTTTGCTTGTTTTATGTAGTGTTGACTAGCTGCCAAAAATAGTTCTCTTGTTGCAAACTTGGCCTCTGAATCTTTACTTAGAAGTTCACTCAATCATAAATATTAAAAGTGAGGCTACTGACTTGAATGGCAGTATTTGATAGTATCTAGGACCTGTATGTTAGATGATTCCAGAATTTGTACGTAAAGATAGGAAGATAGGTAGGGGTGTGTAGGGTTGTGTGTGTGTGTGTGTGTGTGTGTGTGTGAGAGAGAGAGAGAGAGAGAGAGAGAAATGAATTAAATCCAGGCCCTCACTGTACCACTAAGCTACATCCCCAGCCCTTATTTTCTTTCTATTTTGAGGCAGTCTCACTAAATTGCCCAGACTGTATTTGAATTTGGCAGTCCTTCTGCCACAGCCTTCCAGGTAGCTAGTATTACCAGCATGTGTTGTCATAATTTTTAAAGATTATTGTAAAAATACCACCTATAAGCTTGGTGACCCACCTCTCCTGTTTTTTTTAACTTTAAAATGGTATGTTTCATTGTGTCATTTAAGTATTAAATGTGTTGACATTAGTAAAATACCTAGTATTTGATGAACATTGGCTCAAAAGCAGGAATTAGCAACCTGTGAGCTGATTCCAGTTTTCTTTCATGATTCTGGATGGTTTTCAGTGAACAGAAATTTCCTATCTGACTTGTCTCCATGTTGGTAATGTCTTAGTTACTGAGTGACTTCTAAGCTAAATCTCTTTGTTTTTCATTGAGTGACTATTTTTTGTGAAAGGAGAAAGCTGAAATGGCCAGACTCAAAGTAGCATATGCCCAAGTGGGCTTGCAGAAGGAAGAGGTACCTGTGTTTGCCTTATGCCTTGACCTTTTTGCTGTTCAAATGCTATCCCTGGAAGACTCCATTGAGAATATGTGTCCCAGTTCCTATTCTGTTCCTGAAAACAAAGGTTATAGGACAATAAGCAGTTGCAATTGTCATGGAGATTTAAATCTTATTTTTATGTCATATTTTTCATTGTTTCTTCATTTCTATAACTACTAATTTTTGTTTGACTCTCATTTTTATTTACACTTATTTGATTATTTGCTACTTATGTTTTCTGGAGGAGTTATAGAACATTCTCAGAGTTGGTCAGAAAGTAATTGGCAGAGGTGGATTTAGTGTTTAAAATAGTTCTGGCTTTAAGCCTTGAGCTTTAATTCCTTTAACCACATCACACCTTTTAAAATGTGGCTCTGAATTATAATTTTTTAAAAAAGGTGTTCATGTATTCTTGCTCCTGGACATGCTTATTGACATAGCCTCTAAAAGAGTTAGTGATTTAAACAAGGGGAGAAGCCTGATTCTTGGAGTGGCTTTGCTTCCTTTATGCAGTCTTAACTAACTGCCAAAAATAGTTCTCTTGTTGAAAATAGGTCTCTAGAATTAGCCATAGAGTTTGAATACCAAAGTAATGGATATTTACTGAATGATTTTTGTGTTAATTCAGATTGAAAAAAAATATATGTTTATTTCAGCCTAAAACTCATCAGTGAAATATTAAAAGGAGCAAATAGAATTTAAAGAAAAATGAAAACTTTGCCACAGACTAGAATTTGTTGAGTTGATTTTTGTCCCCGTCTCCCTGTCTCCCCCCCCCCCCCCGCCCATAGTTCTTAGGAAAAATGATTTTAATTGGTCAGAAAATGAGTACTTTCCAGTTTGGATGAGATGTTTTTTGCCTGACTTCTTATTTTAGTCTTAGTCTTATTAACCTATAGACAGTTCTTTAGCAACTTTAGTGTTGTAGTTCCTAGGCTTCTATGACTCCAGTCTTCTGGTTTTCGTTTTTCATTTTGCCTCTTAAAACATTCTCTTGTTGCCCTGTAACAGTTAAGCTCAACTGTCAACTTGATTTGCTTGGGAGCTACCTGGGGGATTGGTAAAGCACAGTTCTGGGTATGTCTGGGTAAGTTATGGAGATGTGATTTTGGGGTCTATATCTCGTCCCTGGTCCTTTCTTCTGTGATGACATTATATTGCTGTGCTTACAGGCCGCCATGAACTGAGCAGCTTTGCTCTTCTACAGCCTTCTTGTGAAGCTATGGACTGAATCCTTTGAAAGGATAAGCCAAATTAAGCCCCTGCTTTAAGTGGTGGATATCAAGTGTTATGTTCCAGCAGTGGGAAAGCTGACTAATGCAGGGCCCCTCTCTATCTTCCTTTCCATTAAATACATTATTTTAGCATACTGAACTAGTGTAATTTTCTCAGTGAACCCTCTTTGGGTGATTTCATTACTATCATCATAATTAGTTGTCTTTATTCAAAAAGGAAGCACAAATCTGTATTTCTACTCCCCTTTATTTTCCTGAATTCTGAGACATTTATTGAAGTATTTATTGGATGTTTCTATTCTCAAGTACAGAATCATCTGAAATTTGGAACTAAATTGAACTTTTTTCGGATTTATTCTTTTTTTCTGTTCTTTTTTCTTTTCATGATTGAAAATATCAGTCATGCAATTTCCTAAACTCAACGTTTAAGCATAATCTTGTTGCTCCTTTTCCCTCATCCCTTACTATAATGAATTAAGTTCTGTGGCACTTTTTCCTAAGTGTCCTCCGAATCTATTCACTTTGCACTGACTGTCAGGTTAACATATTCTTTTGCTTGATGTACTTCTTTTATTACCTCTACATCTCCTTGGAAAACATTATCTACATCTCCCTCTGCTGCCAGTTCCATTGTCTCTTCGCTCTCTGCATTGTTTCCTTTGCTGTGCAGAAGCATTTTAATTGATAGATCCCATTTGTTGGTTCTTGGTATCAACTTCTTGTGTCATTGGGGTTCTGTTCGGAAAGTCCTTGTCTGTGCCTATGTCTTTAAGAGTTGTACATATTTTGTCTTCCAGCAGATTGTTTCTGTTTTAACATTTAGATCTTTGATCCATTCTGATTGTAGTTTAGTACATGGTGAGATATATGGGTCTAAAAATCTGCATATGTACAGATGTCCAATTTTTCTAGCACCATTTATTGATATAAAGAGGCTCTCTTTCCACCAGTGTGTTTTTGGCTCCTCTGTCAAAGATCAAATAGCTGAATGGACCTAAGGTTGTTTCTGCTTCCTCTGTTCTGTTCTGTTGATGCACATGCCTGTTTTTGTGCCAGTACCATGCTGTTTTCATCACTATAGCTTCACAGTATAACTTTAAGTCTGGGATTGTGATGCCACCTGCTTTGTTTTTGTTATTCAGGACTACTTTTGCTATTCGGGGTCTCTTCTAATTTGATATAAATCTTAGGATTGTTTTCTCTAGATCTGTGAGAAATGACATTGGTATTTTGATTGGGATTGCATTAAATCTGTACATCAGTTTTGGAAGTACAGCTGTTTTGATTATGTTAGTCCTGCCTATCTAGGAACGGGATATTTTTCTATTTTCTGATGTCCTCCTCCATTTCCTTTTTTCAGTTTGGTGTAATTTTCATTGTATAGATCTTTTGCTTCCTTACGTTAATAAGGATTCTGTTGTGAATGGCATTGTTTTCTTAATTTCTTTTTCAGTGAGTTCATTGTTTGTGTATAGGAATGCTGTTGATTTTTGTGTATTTATTTTGTATCCTGCTACACTGCTGAATTTGACTATCAATTTTAGGAGTCTTTTGGTGGAGTTTTTTGAGTCTTATAAGTGAAAGATCATGTCTTCTGCAAATACTTTGACTTAGTCCTTTCCTTATACATACCGCTTTTATTTGTCTTGTTTGATTGATCTGGCTAATGTTTGGAGGACCAGGTGGAACAGGAGTGGTGATAATGGGCATCTTTGTCTTCTTCCTGATTTTAGAGGGAAAGCTTTAAATGATGTTGGCAGTAGATGGTCGTGACTGGCTTTTATCATGTTGAGATAAAGACCTTCTATACCTATTTTCTTCAGAGTTTTAATGGATGTCGGATTTTGTTAAAAGGGTTTTCTGTATCTGTTGAAATGATCATGTGATTTTTGTCCTTTATTTGGTGAATTAATTTATTGATTTGCATGTGTTTAAATGGATGTTGGATTTTGTCAAAAGTGTTTTCGGCATCTATTGAAATGATCATGTGATTTTTGTCCTTTATTTGGTGAATTAATTTATTGATTTGCATGTGTAAGCCGTCCTTGCACCCCTGGGATGAAACCTATGTGGTCATGGTCCATGATATTTCTAATGATTTGTCACATTTGCCAGGATCTTTTTAAGGATTTTTGCATCTATGTTCATTAGAGAAATTGGCCTATAGTTCTCTTTTTTGGTTGAATCTTTGTTTTGTAATCAGGATGTTAGCTTCCAAGAATGATTTTTGGAAGTACACCTTCCCTCTCAATTTCATTAAAAAGTTTGAGGAATTTTGGTTGTTAGATCTTCCCTGAAGTTTGTGTAGAATTTGGCTGTGAATCCATCAGGTACTTTTCTTGATTGGTGTTTTAAAAAATTCTGCTTCAATTTTGTTCTTTGTTATTGGGTTCAAGAATTTTAAGTCTTCTCGGTTTAGTTTTGGCAGTTCGTATATATCTAGGAATCTCTCCATTTCTTCTGAGTTCTGCAATTGTTTGGCATATATGTTTTGGGCATATGTGGACAAAAGAATGTGTATACTATTATTGGGTGAAACATTCTGTATATGTTAGTATATTAATATGTAGCTGTTAGCATATTAGTGTGTATATATATATGTATAATAAAATATATATTAAAACTCCATTTGTTTGAAGATTTGATTCAACTCTGATATTTGTTGATTTTTTTGTTTAGTTGATCAGTCTTTTGTGATAGTGGGGTATTGAGATCCCCCAGTATAATTTTATTGATGTTTATTTGATCTTTTATGTCCATTAGAGTTTGTTTTGTAAAGTTGGGTGCACCATGGTTTGGTGCATATATGTTTATAATTGTTATCTTTTCCTATTGAATATGTAGTTCCATTAACCAATATGTAATGTCCTTTGCTTCTTTTGATCAGCTTTAGTTTAAAGTTCACTTCGTCTGATAGGATAGCTACTTCTGCTTATTTTTGGCTTACTGTTGGGTGGAATATTGTTTTCCATCCTTTGATTTTTATTCTATGAATTTCTTTTTGTGGTAAATGTGTTTCTGAGCATACAGCATGCCTTTGGGTTTTGTTTCTGGATCCATTCTGCTAATCTGTATCTTTTGATTAGCAAGTTGAGTCCATTTACATTGCTAGGTAGTTATAATTGATAGGTATTGACTTACTCCTGTCATTGTATTAATTTCCTGTTGCTGTTTGCCTGGCTTGGATTGCTTTTAACATATAGCTTCCCCTTTCCCTTTTTTCTTGGATTTCATTTCTTGAAGAAAGAGTCATTTGTCCACTTTCTGGATTTTGCTGATTGTGTGCTTCTCTCTGATATCTTTTACTTGTACAAGAATATTTCCTGTTTATATTTAAATAGATGATACCTTGTATCTATTGACTGTGAACAAATTTTTGTTTAAATGGAAAAATTAATGCTTAATTCTGTTGTTGAAGAATGAAGGATTTAAAAAATCTGAAGGAGGACAGTGAAGGGTAGTATGTGAACCTCATGAGTTAGAATACTTTTGTGTTATATTAGCATAAAATTTGTTGCCATCTTAAATATTGTAAATTACTAGAATACGCAGTTGTAGCAAGAATAGATATACTAGTTTGATTTGGTGGAAGTAACATTTATTATTAACCTTTATTTTATTTTATTTTTACAAAAAAGATACCAGGTAATCAGCACTCCAACAGACTTTTTTATGGTAATGGAGTATGTGTCTGGAGGTGAATTATTTGACTACATCTGTAAACATGGACGGGTGAGTGATGTATTATTTAGTCTACGTCAGAAAAGAGGCACATATTGGGAAATAGCCAACCACAAAGATATCTTCAAGTTTGAGTTGCTTTTATAATAAGGCCCAACTAAACATATAGAGTATTAGACAAATTTCCTTTCTTTAAAATAACCCTCAGCCAAAGTCAAAATTCTGATTTGGGGAAATATATTCCACTTAATTTCCAAATGATTCTTACACTTTTAAGTCTATAAAATTATGTTGACACTTGGAGTTATTTCCTTGGGACTTTCACATAACTTCTGATTTAGTTTGTCTTATAATTTACTAAAACATTGTGTACATTTATAATATTAATTGAAAATTAAACATTATTCCCTTGCAACAAAGCAAAACCTGTCCAGTGGCATAATAAGCTTTGACAAGGTTTTGGTTGGTTTGTTTTCTCTGATTTGTTGAGAATTCTAAGTAGCTTGCTTAGTTATATTTAGACTGATTATAAAACTAAAACTCTTGTTAAGTAGATCTCCCAGATGTTCCTAATCCAATTTCTTTTATACTTGATAGGTTGAAGAGATGGAAGCCAGGAGGCTGTTCCAGCAGATTTTATCTGCTGTGGATTATTGTCATAGGCATATGGTTGTTCATCGAGACCTAAAACCAGAGAATGTGCTATTGGATGCACAGATGAATGCCAAGATAGCTGATTTTGGTATGTCACTCTAGGGTTGTTCAGAGTTATATAGCTACCTTTTGAAGTCTGCCAGCAACAATTCTTATAGTGCTAAAAACTTTCAATTTCAACTTTGTAAATCCTATACCATGAAAAGGAGTTAGTTGTGGTTTCCACACCAGCTTGCTCTATTCCTTTATACTTGTAAAATGCAGATACTTCTAGAAAACTAGGTAGAGGCCTAGGACTAATATCTAGAATATATAAAGAACTCAAAAAAATTAGAACCCCCCTCCAAAATAAAAGACCCAGTTATAAAATGGACAACTGAAATGAATAGACACTTCTCAGAATAAATGCAGATGCCCAATAATACATGAAAAAATGTTCACCATCTCTGGTCATTAAAACACAAATTAAAACAACATTGAAATTTCATCTTATTCCAGAAATAAGGAAATCAGATAATAACAAATGCCAGGGAAGCTGAGGGGAAAAAGGAATCCTTCTACATTTTTGGTGAGAATGTAACTAACATAGCCATTACAGAAATCGGTATGGAAATTCATCAAAAAACAAAAACTAGGAATTCCATTCGACCCAGATGTTTCCCTTCTAGATATCTTCCGGAAAGAGGTACATCATCTCACAGTGATCCATGCATACCCATGTTTATAGCAGCATAAGTCATTATAGCTAAATTGAGAAGCAGTCTGTATGTCCACCAACAGCTGAATGGATAAGGAAAATGTGGTATTTACACACAATGGAGCACTATTCTGCTTTAAATAAGGTAGACTTGAGTCATTTGTAGGAAAATAGATGCACTTTGAGACCTTAATGTTAAGTGAAATAAATCAGACACAAGCTTAAATATCAAATTGTTTTTCTTATATAAGAAACCAAGAAATGGAGGGAGGGAGATGAAAAAAGAATTAAGATGTGCTATGTATGTGGACCAGCTTCCACAAGGAGTGTGATCATTATGATCTGAAACATGTACAGATAAAAAAAAAACAAAAAAAATCCATTTGATCTGCAATTCTTCCTGAGGAATGATACTTCACTTTGGTTTTTGTTTTTTTTTTTTTTGCCAAAGGTCAGTGTTAGAGGGTTGGGGAGGAGTCCCAAACTCTTTTGAAAATGTGAAGGTATTTTCCTAATGAGAGCATATAAACAGAGCTACATGAAAATTTGCATACATCTTTGAAAAGTTTTACAGTTCTTCTGTGATTGGTGGAGAGGTCCATGAGTCCTAGTGTAATATCTAACAACTTAATGAAAGAATGGGCGTTTCATCACGGTAAAGACAAGGTAAAATCTGTTTTTTATGCTCCAAAGACTTTCTATGATAAACATGCCCACATGTAACTGGAAAAGAGTAGAATGGGAGATCTTAAGGAAAAAGAGGTGTGAAGGTACCAGAGTTCAGCCTTGCTGATTTCAATGTTTTTCTATAGTTTGTCTTTAAACTAGGAAAACTAGTTTCACTATTTCTCTTTCTTCTCTAAATAATGAAACTCTTTTAGTACTGTAGTTCAGCTAGATTTTTGGATCAATAGATTTTTATTATGTTAAATCTTTCCAGATTAAAAACCTCAGAAAAGTAACCTGCTTATGAATTGGAGCTTTTGATTTACTGATTTTTTAGATTATTTATTTATTTATTTTGGTACTGAGGACGGAGGATTGAACTCGGGACCTTGTGCTTGTGAGGCAGGTGGTGGAACCACTGAGCTAAATCCCCGGCCCATATTGTTTGGTTTTTTGAGACAAGGCCTTGTTATGCAGTTCAGGCTGGCCTTGAACTCCTAGCAATCCTGCCTCAGCCTCCCAAGTGGTGGGATTACAGGCGTGTACTACCACACCCAGCTAGAAAGGCTTTTTTATTTTATTTTATTTTTTTTGGTACTGGGGATCGAACTCGGGACCTTGCACTTGGGAGGCAGGCAGTGGAACCACTGAGCTAAATCCCCAGCCAGGAAGGATTTTTTAAAGCATAGTAGCATCCATTTTATTCTTTGAATTGCAGAAGTAAATAATATTTTGATGATTTTATTTTTGGAAAAGTTAAAATAATTTAGAATAACCTCATTTGTAAAGTAAGCAGTTTATTTAGAAAGGTAATTTAACTCCAGTCATATACATGATGTTCTTTAGCTTTTGTATAAGCACTATGAAATGATCTCTTTTAAATCTAAGAAGTACTTTTCACTGCTTTACTAAAAAATATGATTTGTGGAGTGTTAAACACTTTTTTATCATGTTTTTATTTATATCTAAAATATCTAGCCGTAAGTAAACATTGTTTTTATTTTCAGGATTATCTAATATGATGTCAGATGGAGAGTTTCTACGAACTAGTTGTGGATCTCCAAATTATGCAGCACCTGAAGTCATCTCAGGCAGGTAATAAATTAGCAGAGTAAGCTTTTTGTAATCTCATAACATTTACTTATAGAATGTTTTTGGAAAATAAGATTTTTAACACAGAAACAAATTGTTCACTTATTTTTCAGTTGTTGGAAGGAAAAAGGTTATATTAAATGCTTTTTTATTAAAAATTTTCTTTTAAAAATGTAACTGAGCTGGGCATGCTGGCACATACCTGTAATCCCAGCTACTTGGGAGCTGAGGCAGGAGGATTGTAAGTTTGAGGGTAGCCTGGCAGCTTAATTAGACCCTGACTCAAAAATTAAAGTAAAAAGGGCTTAGAATGTAGTTCAGTAGTAAAAGGCTTGCCTATCATGCTTGGGGCCTGGGGTTGAATCTGTAGTACTACAGGAATTCAAAAAAAAGGGAAACAGATCTTGATGTCATTTTAGAAGAGGACAGGTAAGAGAGTAAGCACTTGTTAATTTTAAGCTAGAGTCATTATTAGACATAGTGCTTTAGTAATAATTCACTTTTTTGTTTGTGGCAGTGAGATTGAACCCAAGGCCTTCACACTGAGCTACAGTATGTCCCCAGACCTTTTCCTTTTTTATTTTGAAACAGCGTCTTGCTAAGTCAATAAGGGCTTGAACTTTCAATCTTCCTGCCTCCCATTCCAGAGTAGGGGGATTATAGGAATACACCACCACACCTTGCTATTTTACATATTTTATAAAGTCTATGGAATCTTATGTTATATTTTGTCTTTGAAAGAATGAAATTTTGGAGCACAATATTTTTGTTTCATGAAATTAAACTATACAAGTGGAGGCTATTTGTGTAGTTTATTGATGGGTACAATATGATCACATTTATGCAGATTACAGTGATGAAGTCGTCTTTCTGCAATGGCCAATGGTGATTTAAAAAGTAATTCTCAGAAAATACTGAAAAGTGGCAGATAAAGGAAAGTAGTACAAGTAGCAGATATAGGAGTGTTGTAATCCACTTGGGACACTGTAACAGAATATCACAGACAGAGTGGCTTTTAAACAATGGAAATTTATTTCTCACTTTTCTAGAGGCTGAGAAATCTAAAAGCAAGGTGCTGGCAGAGTTGATGTCTGGTAGGACCGGTTCCCCGTAGTCCACTGTCTGCTTATTGTAACCTCATGTGGTGGAACGGGCATCGATCTCTGTAAGGGCCCTAATCCCATCATGAGAGTTTCACCCTCATGACCTCATCTCCCCCTAGAGTCTCCACCTCCTAATGCCATCGCTTTGGGAGTTAAGATTTCAGCGTATGTATTTTCAGGGGACATGAACATGCAGTCCATCGCAAGGAGTTTGAGTCCTATAGCAAATGATACAAATGAAGAACAGCAATTTTTATAGAAATATTTTCTGTCCTTTGCATTGGAGTTGCACTTTTGTCACCTCAGCCCAGGTTTGAGTTTGTTAATTCACTGTTGGGAATTTTAATGCTGTAGGAAGGTGAGAGAAAAAATAGCTGAGAACTGTAGATACAGGTTACCCAGAGCAAAACTAATCTTAGTTCTGTGAGCTAACAAGTGATTAGTAGAATAAAAGTAGTAGGTACAAATTCTCTCTCCATAGTACTAGTTTGCTACTTTAATGTTTCAAATATTGTTTAAAACAGGTGTGCAAGGGATAAACATTCTGATACGTGCATTTTCTTTCTTGTAATAGTTCTATGGGAGAAGAGTGAGCCTATATACTATGCTAGTGTTTTTTAAAGTTTATAATTATCTATTTTGATATTTCCTTTAAAAATCACCCATAGAAAGTGTTATAATTTTTAGTTAGTAAATTACAATTAAATGAGTTGGTGACAAATATATATACCACATTCTCTTGGCAAACTTGCATGGTGACTGGTTAGCCCAATTATTCCTTATGGAGAACAACCATTGAGTATTAGGAGTGGCCATGACTTTATTTTAAAAACTTTGAAAATCATAATATGCTGATCTGTACTACATATGTATATAGAAGCAGGGTACAGAAAGATGAGGAAAAAGTGATACTTGCTTCTCAGGTTTGTAATCCTCTTTAGGTTATATGCAGGCCCTGAAGTTGATATCTGGAGCTGTGGTGTCATCTTGTATGCCCTTCTGTGTGGCACCCTCCCATTTGATGATGAGCACGTTCCTACACTGTTTAAGAAGATCCGCGGGGGTGTGTTTTATATCCCGGAATATCTCAATCGCTCAGTTGCCACTCTTCTGATGCATATGCTGCAGGTTGACCCTCTGAAACGAGCAACTATCAAAGACATAAGGTGATTATTCTTCTTGCTTTGACTTTGCATATTGTAGTAATAATAGTGACATTATCTGATCACATGCTTTATGCTAGTTGTTACAACACTTCATTTTGTAAGCATTTTACTGGCCTTATTGCACAAACTGAATCATGTTACTTATCTTTAAAATACTTGACATTGCTGCTGAAACTTTTTAGCTTAAATAGTAAAGCATACAAGACTTTTTCAGAAGGCTCTACTTCTGAAATCTCTTCTCTTGCCTTCACCACCACAGCCCTTGTACCACTGCTTCAGCCACATTGAACTTGTCCTTATTCCTCAAACATAACATAGATTTAATGGGTCTGTGTCCTTGTTTTTATTAGTGTCTGTCTTTATGCCTTTTCTGACCTGATAGTCTTCCATTCAACCTTGAAAGTTTTGCTCATATGCCACTTTCCCTTGTGAAATCGCCCTGATTCCACAGCAAGCTTAGGAGTTGCTTCTGCTATAATGTCAGCATTTTGTTTATATTTTATTCTTTCATTCTTACACTGTATCTAGTTATATCTCAGTGTATCCCTTTCCTAAGTTATGACTACATCAGGGTAGGGTGTCTTACTCATCTTTCTGTGTGCAGTGTTATGAAGCCTGGGAATATAGTATACATTCAGAAGGTATCTGAAGAAATTTCAAATGGAAAATCAAGGAGAGATTTGTACATAAACAAAGCACAAAAAGTGTTGCTAAGTTTTTGACTCTGGGAGCCAATGGTAGATTTGCTGTGTAGGATATTTTGTCAAGTGAAAAATTGTCAGGAATGTGGTTACTGGTCCTACTATGAATATAGCTTTTTTATAGTACACACAGCAAGATGATTCAGTGCTTTCTCATCTTACTATTCATGTTTTTAGAGGGGTTTTTGTTCTTACCTAATATTTCATCTATATTTGTTTACAAACACATTTTTTTGACATTTTTCCAGAACCCTCCCCCTTTTCTTCCTAAGTGAGAATGACTATTTTGAGAACTTGTGGCCCTTGGAATATTTAATGGATGGCTTAGGTAGTAGTTTATGTGACTGCTGTAGATCTCTTCTGCAAACAAGAAGTGATAATTCCTATTGCATTTATGTATCATCTTGTTTCCCTAGCATTTCTTCAGGATTCCAGGGATCATGCATAAAAATGTGAAAGTGTACAGTAGCCACTAGATTTAGTTATAAAAATGAACTTAGCAGGGAAACAAAAATAACCCTTTGTGTTCACAGTTCTTTAGAATAGTTTTCCTAATTGGGTTTTTCTCAGCAAATTAGGCATGTACATGTAGATATACTTACTTGTATAAGCATATAAATTTAGAATAGTAAAAGTAATTCTGTCTGCATATTTAGAAAGAAAAATGTAAATAAGTCTAAGATTTACTCATAAGCAGATGGTAGAATGTCATTCATTTTTGTACTTAATGAAACTTGAATTTATAGTTTTCATTATTTTAAATTTCATTACATTCAGTTTTTTAATGTTCTTGAGAGTTCTTGATTTGATAAAACAATGTTTAGCAGGCAAAAGAATTACAAATTACTGAAAAATTCCTATATAGCAAGCATTTTGCTATACAAACCTATTTTATTGTGTTGACTCCTACTAGGTAACTGTTATTATTCTCATTTCACAAACCATGAAACTGATGCTTAGATTATGTCATGATTCAGTTATGTATATCTTTGCCTCTACTAAAGTATAAGTTCCTTTAAATTAGGGACCTAGTATTAATTCATATCAAAATGCAGTATATGTCTGGCATATACTAAATGTTGAACCAGCATTTGTTGAAAATTACACAGTGAATAAAGGACAGAACTGGGGTTCAACTCAGAGTTTGTCTGAATTTTTAAAAACTATGGTGTTTCCACTATTCCAAATTGTTATGCCAGTTTTATGGCATTTTTTCTTACTCTAATTTGTCATAATACTTTGTATATTTCTTAGGCTCTGACAGTATTGTCATGATTACTTTTCTACTCTTTGCATATCCCTTATCTGAATGGTGAGGACCAGAAGTGTTTCAGATTTCAGCTTTTTTAGGACTTTGGAATATTTGTATCAATGTTGCCAATTAATCATCCTTTATCCAAAAACTCCAAAATCTGAAGCGCTCCAGATTCCGAAACTTTTCGACCACCAAAACTTCAAAAATTTTCAGACTTTGGAACATTTCACATTTTCAGATTAGGGATATGCAATTTGTATGTACATTATTTATTTTATAAGAAATCGAAGGTTAGAAAACACACCTCCATATTTCTTTGTTCATTTAATCACTTTTACTTTTATTCATTTAATAAATAACAACGGCTGGAAATACAGTGATAAACAAGACAGACGTTGTGTTTATGGAAATCAGATTATTGTATTCTCCCAGGTGTTTGTTTTTTGAGACAGGGTCTCTCTGTGTAGTTCAGACTGGATTTGAACTCACTGAGAAGCCCAGGCTGGCCTTAAACTCCTGGCGATTTTCTTGCCTCAGCCTCCGAAGTGCTGGGATTACAGGCGTGCATCACCATGCCTGACTCCCAGATTTTTTAAGCCTGTTAATAGTATTAATGCAATTGTGGTTAAAAGGAATGGATTTAACTAAGTAGGAATATTGATGCTTCTTTTTATAGCAGTGGAATTATTAACATCTTTGTTTTTTGTTATTTTTATAGTGAGATTGAGAGGAAAATCATAAACTATGGGAAATTGCCATTTATGTGGTTCTAAAAACAATTGAATATCATAAACTTCAAATATTTAACTTAATAATGATTGAAGCTTTTAGAACAATGTCTAACACATTAGCTATAATTATTTTATAAGTGAATGTATGAAAACCTTCGACTGAACCCAAAGAAATTTGGGTGTCTTGTAAGGTTTTGAAATTCGACTCTTTATATAATCTGTTTAATTTTATATCATCTATCAAAGTCAGGTGTTGGACAGTAATGATAGGTACAGATTTTGGTACCTGTGTAGTACCCATATACAGTGAATTGATTTTGTTTCAGGTGACCTCATAAACAACTAATTACTGCTCCCCTTGTTAGAGTTAATTCAGAAGTGGATTCCTAACAACAAACAAGCTACAAGTAGTCTTTTTAAATTGGCAATTACTTGTTGCAAAGAATGTGATCATTTGACAAAATTAATGAATTAGAAATAAAAACATTAGATTTTCCCTGTTTTTTATTTTGTTATAATTCATATTTTATAAACTTGTCTTTAAATTGTGTAATGTAGTAGTTTTAGTTTCATATTCAGAGATATACCTTGTTACCACTGTTACCTCTAGAATTTTTTACCCTTAGAAGAAGTGCTTTCACTCTCCATTTCTGCCTCCTGCCAGCCTCTAAATGGATTCATATAGTACATGGCTTTTTGTGTCTGGCTTTTTTCACTTAGCATATTTTCAAGGTATTTCCACACTATATAGCGTGTGTCAGTACTTCATTCTTTTTTTGCTTGAAAAATATTCCATTGTATGGATAGACTACATTTGGTTTATTCATCAGTTGATTGCCATGAGGGTGGTTTTTGTCTTTTTTTTGTTGTTGTTACCAGGGATCAGACTAGGGACCTTGAGCTTGCAAGGCAGGCAGCGGAACAACTGAGCTAAATTCCCGGCTGTCTTTTGGTTGTTATGAATAATGTTGCCTTAAACATGCACATACATATTTCATATGGTCATATGTTTTCATTTGTTGTGCATATATATGTAGAGTCTGTAGTTGTTATATTCCATTGTTGTTGATGCTCCTGTTTGTTTTGTGATTTTTCTAAACTAATTCCTTAAAGTCTGATTTCTTTGTCATGTTTGGCTACTAATGTCCTTCCTGTTTTAGCTAAATGGTCAACTAATAATTAGGTGGAGATTTCTTAAAATGGCATCATCTGAGCCAGGTGTGGTGGCATATGCCTGTGATCCCAGCTCCTTGGGAGACCGAGGCAGGAGGATCACTTGAGCCCAAGATTGAGACCAACCTTGGTAGTATAGTGAGCACCTTGGGCAACATAATGAGACCTCATCTCAAAGAATAAAAAGCTGTAATCTATTAAGTCTCCCAGCCTTCAGAGAGGCTCTGTGTGTTGGTGTGCAGCAGTGGTGCTCCAGTGGTCAGTTAATAACTCTGCCTTAGCCGTCATCTCCTTCTTGTGCAAGCTTCAAAATCTGCCAATGGGGAGACATTAAGGCCCTCTCAGTTCTTTCTTGGGCATTGTGTTAGTTACCTCTCCCGTTGCAGGGGTGAAATACCTAACATGCACAACTTAAAGGAGAAAGGATTATTTGGGTTTATGATTTCAGAGATTTTAATCCATGGTTGCTGGCTCCAAGGCAAACATAGCCAAGCTATGAAAGCTGCTTGTAGGGTGGCATCCAAGAAGCAGAGAGAGCAAGGAAGGAACCTGAGAGCAAGGGGTGAGGGAACAGAGAGATCCTCCACAGACGCACCCCCATGACTAATCTCCTAGACATCCTCAGTTTGATGATCAAGATTAACAGCCCCAAGTCCACCCTTTGTCACCTTGATACTCAAACATATCTCCTTAAACTATGCCCAATCTCTAAATCTAGTAACAGGGTCAGAATTCTGCCCAATATAAGTATCCTGCGTACAGCTGAAAGCACACTAATTCCTTCCACAAAGTCTCAACAGTACCAACTCAAAATTGCAAGTCTCTTCTGGTACGCAAGACAACTCTTAACCTGTGATCTCTGTAAAATTTAAAACAAACAAACAAACATATATGTTGTCAAGATAAAATAACACAGGGTAAACATTCCCATTCCAGAAGAGAGAAGTATGGGTACAGAAAAGAATTAGACCAAAACAAGGCTAAAACTCAGCAAAGAAAAGATGAAGTCCTACGTAGTTCTGTATGTATATATGGCATCTGGTGTACACATGTGGTGGTATGTGAGCACCAAGACTTTGGTGACCTTGCCCCTATTGCTTGTCAATCACAGTTCATGTGGCCTTTCTCTCAGGCTGGCTGTGCACACTACCTGCAGTTTTCCTCAGCAGGTGTCCCACATTCTTGGTTGCTCCAGCTTCCTGGGGTCTTTATTGCAGCATTGGCTTCACCTGGGCAGTTTCATGCATTGCCCACTCAGGGACTCTTGTAGGTTTTCCGACCCTGTCATACATCGTGTAATCTTCCAGGCTGTCCTTGGGAATCTGAGTGGAAGCCTCCATAACCATAACTCTTGCATTCTTCATGTCTGTAAACCTAACATGATATCTGATGATACCTAAGTCTGTCACCACCTTGAGAAGTGCCTGGGCTCACTGAAATCATGGCTGTCATGGCATCTGAGTGCTTGGATGGCTGAGCACTGTGGAATGAATCCTGGGGAGTTAGTTCCCTGTGCGGCTCTTCCCACGCAGAGGCAGTTTAGGACATGGACAAAATGTATAGAAGTTCTTTTGCCATAGTGTAACATGAGCATAGTCTTTATTGTTTGCATTTTGATCAGCATTCTAGTTTTCTGACCCTTCATTAAAATTGTCCATTAAACTCTACTTCAAATGTTCTAGGACTTCTCTGGCCCACATCTCCCAACTTTTTCAAATTCCTACTAAAACCAGTCCTAAAGACTTCCAAAACATATGAGCGGGTATAGCCACAGCAGTCACCCCACCTCTCTGGTATGAGTTTTCTGAATTGATCAGCTTTCTGTCAGTGGGACAGAATACCTCACATACACAACTTAAAGGAGGTAGTGTTTCTTTTGGCTATTTTGAAGCTTTCAGTTCATGGTTGGTGGATCTGAGGAAGAAACATGGCAGAAGGGGACTGTAGAGGGAAGCTGCTAACCTCATTATAGCCCGGAATGAGGGCATGTTAAAAACCAGAGGGGAAGGGACCGGGGACCAGCTATAGTCTTCAAGGTTATGTATGCCCTCATGATCCACCCAAATATGCCCAGAGGTGTGCTTACCTAATCTCCAAGACGTCTGAGCAGTCAGGCTCACAGTCAAGATTAACCATCACAGGTGTGCACACAGCCCTGCAAATATGCTCCTGGCTGTTGTAAGCCCCAGGAGTATGTGAAAACCTCTCAAAGACCCCCTTGGAACTCCTGTTCCCTCACTTTTCCCTTTTAGATTTTTGAGTCAGCTTCTTGGGTACCCAGCTCTTACGCTGCTTCAGATACTTGGGATCTTAGTTGCCATTGATTGTTTTTGGCTTGGGAGAAGACTGTCTGCAGTGAGTGAGCTCTGAGTTGCATCAAATGAAGATGAGGCCTTTGAGTACAAGTTTTCAGGAAATGGCTAGGTAGGTTAAATAGTGGCGGTTCTTTTGAGGGGAGTGTTGGGGAGTCCAAGCCCATCCTCTTCTTTCCTCCCCGTTCCAGTGTTTGTTATCCTGTTGATTTTCTCAGCTATTTGATTTTGAGGCTGTTGGTTTTTAAAGCTAATTCATGTGTAGATGGAGAATAAAAGGGAATTTAAGCCATACCTCTCACTTTCCTTGCTGAGATTCATCCATTTTTCTTGAATACTCTTCAGATTGTTGCAAGGTATTTGGTTAATTTCTGGAGTTAATGAACAGGTTGATTTTGAAAAATCTTGCTAGAAGTCTCAGAAACACTTGATTCCTTTTACCACTCCTTTTCATAACTCATGCTTTCATGATTTTGGGCTAGTTCAGTTCTTAGAACATGGCAAAACTTTTTCTTGTCTTAAGGTCTTCGCACATATTGCTTCTTTTGCTGGAATATCTGTTTCCTCACTTGGCTTTGGTGACTTCTGATCATTTTGATATTTGCTTAAGTACAGTATTACTCAGGGGCTTTCCTAATCATCCACTTCCCATTCTGCATTCTGTGCTCTCCTTTATACCATACTTTTCCACTCACAATCTGTATGACAGGATTTGCATATCTATATGTTTGTAACTTTGTATTTAGTCTTACAAACGTTTGTCTAATCTATCTACCTAGTATGTAATTTCTGTGAGGAAGAGTGTGTCTTGTCCATAGTATGTCCTCAGTAAATATTCATAAATAAATTAGTGAAATAGAAGTCATTTGGTCAAAATGTATCAATGATCTGAGCTTAAGGAATGCCCAGTTCTATCACATAACAATGCTTAGTCATGAAGCACAGTGTTTGTTATAGGAAAAAAAGGTGAAAGGGGTGTGGTATGCTCAGGTGGCAACAGAGGGTCAAATACAAAGGCCCAAGGTATGAGAAAATAAGATTTAGGAGAGTAGCCCTCAGCTTTTTAGTGTTAATAGTGTTTATACTGTTTAAAATTATGGAGGACCTCAAAGAAGTTGTTTTTAAATGTAGGCTCTATCAATATTTAGCCTATTTAGCCTATTAGGATTATGAGACATTAAAAAAGATTTAATTCACCTAACAATAAATGTATTACATGTTAATTTAAATAATACATCTTTTATGAAAACTTATTTTCCAAAACAAAAAAAAGTTTGAGAAGAATGTTATTATTTTCCATTTGTACAAGTCTCTTTAATATCTGGTTAAATCAAAGACAGTTGTATTCTCACATCTGTATCTTCATTCACTCTTGTAATACTTAGTATTAGCCGAAATGTGTGAAGATCTGACCTTACTTAGGTAAGTGATTGGAAAAGAAAGGAGTATTTTAGTAGCCTTTCAGATAATTGTGATTTTTTTGGATATATTAAAACAAAGCTTAACATACTGGTCTACGATATAAAATGAGAAAACATTTATCAGCGAACTTTTGTACTTTATTACAGTATAATAAGCTAGTCTGTCTTTCATTTTGAGTGGATCTCTCATGCCTGTGTGGTTCTGTTACACTGTACATTGGCCATTGGAAAATCTTGCCTTGCTGATCTCTGTAGATTTCCTAAATGGTGACACATTTCATTATATCAAAAAGTTATATTTGTTATGATCAACACTAACCTCATCAGATAGTCTTTAGGTATTGAAAAGCTGTCAAATTCATGGAGCCATGTAGAAGTTACTCTACAAAATTCCAAAATTTTTTCTTGAAGTCCTGATTTTTATCATTGGTAATAAGTGTTGCTAGTTGTTTTCCTTGGAGTGACAGGCTCACTTAGCTCATTTTCAAGAAAATTGAGGCTAACACCCAAATCAGAATAATCATAGTTATTCAAGAGTAGAGATGAATTAACTTGCCCAGGGTCACGTAGCTGGTAAGTATAGAGCTGGGACTGGAGATCAAGTCTCTCTGAGTCCTTGTTATATTGGCCCATGTCTAAATCATGTGGGACTTACCAAAACATATTCTTACAATGATGTATTGTGGTGTTTTTTCCTAGAGAGCATGAATGGTTTAAACAAGATTTACCCAATTACTTATTTCCTGAAGACCCCTCTTATGATGCTAACGTCATTGATGATGAGGCTGTGAAAGAAGTGTGTGAAAAATTTGAGTGTACAGAATCAGAAGTAATGAACAGTTTATATAGTGGTGACCCTCAGGACCAGCTTGCGGTGGCTTATCATCTTATCATTGACAATCGGAGAATAATGAACCAAGCCAGTGAGTTCTACCTCGCCTCTAGTCCTCCAACTGGGTCTTTTATGGATGATAGTGCCATGCATATTCCCCCAGGCCTGAAACCTCATCCAGAAAGGATGCCACCCCTCATAGCAGACAGTCCCAAAGCACGATGCCCATTGGATGCACTGAATACAACTAAGCCCAAATCTTTAGCTGTGAAGAAGGCCAAGTGGCATCTTGGAATCCGAAGCCAGAGTAAACCATACGACATCATGGCTGAAGTTTACCGAGCTATGAAACAGCTGGATTTTGAATGGAAGGTAGGAAAATGTCGTGCATTAAGGTCATTTGGAGAAGCTATTTTCCTATATAATAAGCCTTCTGAGCATTGAGTTGTGTATTGAGATCAGTAAAAAGTTCTTTTTGATCTTGATATAAATATAGTATACTCAATACTTTTGGCTGGTAATCCCCTTCTTTCCAGTAATTAACATATCATTCAGAACAAAACAAAACAAAACAAATACACCTCTACAAGGACGAACAGCTGTTGATGTTGGAACCTGCATATTTTAAATTATAAAATAGCATTCTTGGCCAAGAAACAGAAGGTAATCAACTTGGAATTACGTGAGAAAATACTGTACCTGTTTCAGCATGCTTCATAACAAAAAGTCCCGACTCTTGAGACATAGTATGCTTTTACTTTCTTCTCTCTTTATAGGAATTTACTTATTCATTTATCTTGCTTCTCAATTGGATGGCGGAGGTGGGTGCTGTGGCAGTAGTGGCTATATAATTACATCATCAGGATGTACTTTCCAGCCAAGAAATACTTAGCTCCAGGTTGAGAGATTTTGTCACTTAGCTGGTGCTTTTAACCTTTAGTTGTGGTATGTTTTCCTTAGTATCACCCAGTTTTACTCTCTTCTAAAGTTAGTAGTTAATTTCATTGCAATTCTACCTGCATATATGTGGAGGGAAAAGCACTTTTTCATTTAGATATGCCTTTCACTTTTTTCTTTTCTTCACTGTGAAAATTCTTTTAAAGGAAGAAGAAAAACATTCAGACTTACTAGGTAAATATTTATTTGATGTGTTTAAGTAAATCACTTTCACTATTTGTACATGAGTAAATGAAAATATTTCCTCAACTCTAATACAGTGCTCCCTTTCTTGAAGCAGCTTTATTTAGTTAAAAAAAGATGTTTATATCTTTAAAATTTTTTGCTGAAAAATTTTTGAATTTACTTTGATAGATGTTTTGAAAATCCAGAATGTTCTTTTTCTGAGGTGAATTTTTCTTATTTTTGAGACAGATAGAGCCTGAGCATGGTGATGCATGCCTATAATCCCAGGACTCTGGGAGGCTGAGGGAGGAGAATCAAAAGTTTGAGCCCAGCCTGGGCAATTTAGCATCTTAGCAAGACCCTCAAAATTAAAAATAAAAAAGGCTAAAGTGGAATTCAGTGCAAAGGCCTTGGGTTAAATGCCCAGTGGTGGTGGGGCACTTAGTATTTTCCTTATAGGATCCTTGTGATGCCTGAGTTTTGTGAGAGAACCTCATGTAAGCCTGTGACATGTTAGTTCCTCTTTATTCCTGCTGCTTCCTACTCAGCAGTAAAAGAATAAAGGAAAGGCAGGGTTATCTCTTATTCTTGAGGCTTTAGGCTGGACACATCTGGAGCGAAGGTTGGGTGCTGTCCAGTGCTTGAGTTCTCTTTAAAGTGCAATTGCTGTTCACAAATGGTGCTGCTAGGGGAGATTAATTAAATATTAAACTAAACCACTGTAATATGTAAAAAGGGAATCAGTGACAAGTTCCTCCCCTACTCCAGTTGTTTGTTTCCATACATCAGTTATTTGTTTTTGACACCTTTTACAATACCAAGGGAGGCATTTTTTTAGTTTGTTATTTTTACTGGTTTCTTGTTTTAGGTAGTGAATGCATACCATCTTCGTGTAAGAAGGAAAAATCCAGTGACTGGCAATTATGTGAAAATGAGCTTACAACTTTACCTGGTTGACAATAGGAGCTATCTTTTGGATTTTAAGAGCATTGATGGTAAGGAAGCTATGCAGCCAAGAGCTCTGAGAAGATAAAACTTGGCACTAGTCGACCACGTAAAATCATCTCAAAGACATAGTGGGTATGTCTTCTGCACTGGTTATTAAGTGGTCTAGACTTAACCAAACTGTAAGTGAAATGATTTCAACTTTTGTTTGATGTGTAGGAGAAAACAAGTGGCCAAGATGTGCTTTTTTCACATGCAGGGATATCATTTTCATTTCAGTGTTAACACCACATATTCTGTTGAGCATTTGGGGACCCCATCTGACTGTATAGGGGTTTTGGGAGTGACTAGTAATACCCGTTAAAATTGTCTGAGAGGGCAGGGCCGGGGATTTGGCTCAGTGGCACCGCACCTGCCTCGCAAGCCCAAATTCCCGAGTTCGATCCCTGGTACCAAAAAAAAAAATTGTCAGAAGGTAGAGATACTGCCTCCTCTGCTCCTGAAACGCTGCAGTATGACATCCATACTCCATGACTCAGTTGTCCTTGCTCAGATGTCTTTACTTAATATTCTGACTGTGGCAACTTCAGAGGAAGGACTTGGGCAGATACACCTTGCACATAAATTGCTCTTTGGTCCATTCCAGATGAGGTGGTGGAGCAGAGGTCTGGTTCCTCAACACCTCAGCGTTCCTGTTCTGCTGCTGGTTTACACAGACCGAGATCAAGTTTTGATTCTACGACTGCGGAAAGCCATTCGCTCTCTGGCTCCCTCACTGGCTCCTTGACTGGAAGCACAGTGTCTTCAGCATCCCCTCGCCTGGGTAGTCACACCATGGATTTTTTTGAGATGTGTGCCAGTCTCATCACCACTTTAGCTCGTTGATGATCTGTTCCTGGTTTCTATCTTTCTGTTACTGCACTGTGAAAATAAGATATGTTCTTTAAATTATTACCTTCCAGATGTCACATACTCTGCAGTAGTAATTGAGAGATATAAATATTACCAGAGGAAATGCAATACCATTGAAACTACTGAAAACAAAAAGCCTGACATTTAATTTTCTTTTAGAACTCTCATTCTGTTGTGCCTCTCATAAGGTCACGTAGGCAGTGTTTTTATTGGGTGGACAATGATGAAGGTTGTTAATTTACAATTGTGAATTCACTAAAGATGATGAGTAGACCTCACTGGTGAGTAAGCTAATTTAGTACTTCCTTGTTCCACTATTTAATGTAGGTAATTCCAGTTTATTTCCTAAATTTCAGCAGGTTGTAAGCCACGTTTTTGCTTCTAGTTTCATTGCACAAGAAGATTGAAAGACAAAATAGTTACTACTAAGATGTTTTTTAAATGGTGAAATCTTAAAAAGGTTACCCTCCTCCAAAATTCAGAAACTCAGTTCTTTAACAGTGTTGGCAGATACTGCCTACTGTTCACCAGAAGAGCTGTGGTCCTGTAACAGGTACCCATGATTTCCTTAAAAACAGTTTTATCTTGAGATTCCCAGACTAATGCTCTTTCTCTTAAGAACCTTAGAGGTTCTAGTTAGTATTGAAACATCTGAAATTGGAACACTTTCTGTCCTTTCCATAAGCTTACGTAATTTAAAAACATTTTCAAGACCTATCTTTTTCAAATTCTTTTCCTGTCTTTTTACTTTTGCACATTACCAGGAATGGTAAAATAGTAGACAGTTAAATGAAAGAACTTGAAACATCACCAGTCCCTTTTTGCCGGGGATGTAGCTCAGTGGTTTTGCCGCCTGCTGCGCAAGCGCAAGGACCTGAGTTCGATCTCCGGCACCAAAAAAACCCCAGAAAACCAAAAGAGAACTCTTTATCTTTGATTTTTTATTTTGTGTGTATGTGGTAAGGGGGAATAAGGAAGTTAGAGTCCTGTTGGATCTCACAATGCTAATTCTTCATTTGAAATTTAAGTTATACCTGCCCTTTCCTTCTCCCACCTTTGCCTCTGACCATTGTCTTTGTTCATTGCCCTTCAGTGGCTGATTACCTTAACTTTTGATTGTTTTTGGTTCCCTTTCTTGGTTGTTAGCCATTCAGTTTGAAAACATGGTACTGGCCCTAAGGGTTTTTATGCTTCCAAAGCTTGATAGGCTGTGACCTTCACTCTTGATCTTGATAGGGTGAGGAAGCCTTAAACATTTAAAAATATTGTCTCTTGAATAAATATGTGTTGTTTACATATATACATGTATGTATTCATACACCAGTGCTTTTAATCCAAAAACACATTTTTTTGTTTTGCTTTGTGCAAGGTTTTTTTTTTTAAAAAGATTTAAAAAACCCGAACTGTATGTAGCATGGTAGGTAATAGCTTATTGATTATATTTTGTTTTAGTAAAAGTATTTAATTTTTAAATTATATATAATTTATCTAATTTGTATTTATTCATTTATTGTATTTATGTTGTAATTAACAATCTCATTCACCCAACTTATCCTATGAAATATTAAGCTCTTGAAAACAAAAAAAAAAAGACATTGCCTTGACAGGTTTCTCTTTGCCAAAAATAATGTATTTTCTACAAAGAAACAAATGAAAATGCTGGACCACGTTTTTTTATGTTTCTAGAAGGTAAGTATGTTTATCTCTAAAGATCATTTGAGTCAGGAGTTTTCATTGTGTCACTTCAAATTGTTTTGTAGATCTTTTAAAATATGATTGATATTCTAAGTCCAGCTTCTTAATATCAATATAAAAAATTTTTTTTCTTGAATTTGGGGGATGGGGTTTGTGTGCTGAGATGGTAGTTTAAGGTTTAACTTTTGAAAGATTGCCATCTTGTGGCCCGAGAGGGTAATTTTTTTAGTAATTAATTTGGTAGGATAAATAGTCCTGCTAAGTCAGACGTGCATTGTCTGTATAGCATAATCTTGGCTTCTCCAGTGTGTGTGTATCTTTTTTGGGCAAGATCATTTCATAATATTTCCCCAGCTGAATGGGATAACTTCAGAAATAAGGAACGAATAAGATTCTTTGTAGGCAATGAAAAATCCAAAGCTACTTTGTAGGCCAAGAAATAGAAACATTTTAACTAATTTTATTAGTGTAGTAAATCAGATATTGGAAAGTTTTTTTTTTTTTTTGATATTAGAATGTTTTTTGAGTTAAAAAAATGTATTTGCTATTTTCTTTTCTTTTTTTAATCCTGGTACTGGGGATCGAACTCAGGACCTTGTGCTTACAAGGCAGGCATGGTGCCACTGAGCTAAATCCCCGGCCCCTGCTGTTTTCTTATTCTTGCCAGTATTTTTGAGCATCCACTCAGTTTGATAGTTACCTGTTGAATTTTAGGGGACCTGCGGGTCATAGTTTTGATTCTTTTCTGTGAATGTAGGTGGTATAAAACTTAATTTGCAGAAATTTCAGGAGACTCAGTCTAATATATTAAAGACTAGAAACATAATAAACAGGCTTTTTGTTCCTTGTGGGCACAGAAGGAAAGAATCTGCTGCTAATCACAGATTCCCACATTTTAGGCTTGTGAACTGGTTAACTGTGGATGTGGTGCGTAGGCCTGGGCTGAGAGAAATTTCTCCCAGTTGGATGACTGTTGTTGTGTTACAGATGTGTCTTATCTGTGCCATGCAAATGGACTTCTTTGGTTCTAGGACAGCATTTCCCAAGTAAACAGATTCTGTGCAGTAAGTTTGGAAAATATCCTACTTTTCCCCCTTAGGATGACAGTGAGAGAAATATTGAAGACTTTGACAAATCCTTTCACATAAAAAAGAAAACCATATAATTTTGTTTAACCCTGCTTTGCCCAAATTAATTTGCTATTTTAAAAAACTTATCCCGTGGAACAAAACAAAGCTTGGAAAATGCTTTGTTAGGAAAGCTTTTGGATCAGGTTATCATAATTAAGGTAGTTAAGAACAAAATTAAGACAGTACTGTTTTTTCCCTTATCAGTTATTGGGGAGAACCTGGTTCAGATTCACAATCTTCTATTTTAACTCCTAGACAGGTAGAGTGCAGGACTAAGAATTTTTTATCTGCAACTTGTTTTGTAAAACACTGCTTTTCTCAGTCAGGTTGTGGTGGTGTTTGGGAGCAACATTTATTTTTTGTATTAATGGATGACTGAAAACTCTTAAACAAGATTACTTGTGAAGAAAAGACTAAGGGACTACTAAACCATGAGCCAATATGACTGATGCTTTCAAAATGTGTAGTCAGTGAATATCTGAACACTTTTGTTTAGGATGCCGTATGTAAAGCTCATTGTCTTTCACTTTAGGAAGAGACACTCAAATATGCAGGGAGAGAGGGAGGTGAACTATTTACAAGTTATTTTTTGTTGTAATCAACAGAAGTTTTAAGAGACATTTCTGTAAATTCTAGTGCTTGCATTGATATTAGCCACCAGTAGACAGATTCCAGGAGTCTGGAATTATTCAAATTCCAGTAGTTTGAAATAAGTTTTTCTGTGTCAGGGAGCTGGTGATTTGTAACACAGACAGTTCTCCATTTTCCGCAGATACTTCAAAAAATAGTTACAAATGCTTTCTTTTATTCTCTAGCCAATTTGTACTTAGGGAACACAAATTAATTTTTAGGATTGAGGCATAATGTAGAAAATAATCATTCCAAATTTGGGGACTACTTTTATCTGTAACATCTACTGATGTGCAGTACACTGAATTAATATAGGCACTACTCCTCTTTATAAGGTGTAAAAGCCTGGGACATGCCTACCAAAGACACTGCATCTTTGTCTATTCACTGGCTAATAATTTAAATCCCAATAGTAGCAGCAAGATCTTTGTATCTAAGTGCTAGATATGTTCATAGTTTTGTCTGTTTTTGTTTTTAAACACCCAGATCTGTCATCACTTTTACCTTGTCCTCTTGTCACCCCTTGGCTTTTTAAGTGGGGAATGTGACTTAATGTAGTTCTCAGACTCGGTGACTAACTCTGCATGAGGGATATGTACAGTCTGCTGATAAGTCACATCCTGTGTTGCGCCTCATTTCTGTGACCCTAAAATGAGAGGGATAGAGTAAAAGACCTCTAAGGCACCTCTGAGCTTTAAAGATTTTGCATTTTCTACCTTTGCATGTGCTTTGTGTTAACGTTCACTTTCTGTATATTTAGAGTTTTTATACTAGCATGAATGTTCTATTTTGGTTCAGTGAGGCATTTTGATGATGTATACTTGAAAATTTTTCTAAATACAGCGGCCCCCTGGAATGCAAATGGCAGAAATCATCCAGAAACCAGACACGTTAAAATATCATCATGACTTGGCATAAGGCAAAAGGTAACTAATTGTAGCAATGGAAGTGCTCCACACATGTAGATTCAGGGAGCCACTTTGTTAACTATTACAGTAACCTTGGAGGTAACCAAAAAAGTACATTTTGCAACTTTCCAGATGAGGAAACAGCATCACAAAGTTGTTTATAAAGCTTTAATCCCATACAGTTATTCAGTGGCAATCAGTTGCTCTTCAGAGTGCACCACCTTCTAGGGCAGAGCACTCTGAATAAACATCTGAGTAGTCAAGTAATTAAAAAACATAGATGGATTGCTTTAAAATCTTTGACAAAATAGTCTTAACTAAATATTTCTTAGTTTAATTATATGAACCAGTTGATTGTACTAACTAGATGTAATTATCTGATTTATGATTAGCATGTTGATTTTTTAATAAGTATTTCTAAGTTATTGAGGGTGCTTAAAAAAACTAAAGAACTTTTAGGACATAATTCTTCCTGTAATTTTGTGTGATTCTTATAGCAGTCTCTTAAAAAAGAAAAATTAGTCTCAGTCCTTATCTAAATTATCATAGTTTTTGACTGTTATCTGAAAATTAGGCTTATCCAAATTTCGTAAACAGATTGGTAATTGTTTCTTTTGAATGCATATTAGATGATACAACACTTTTCAAGAGTATGTTTCTCTTTATGAAGTACCTAATTGTTATTGGGTTGATAAAGATTCTCCCAAACCTTAAAACTATGAATTGGAACTTAAGTTTGATGAGCTTTGAAATTTCTGTAAACCTTTAACAAGTTGTTGGCATCCTTACTGGCCCTTCCCACATGGAATTATGATGCATTTGATGTCGCGGAACTGTAATAGCATGAAAGACAGGACCCATCGTCTGGACAGGATTAGGTTTTAATTAAACTTCTTCAGCCATAGCCTGATAAGAATCAGGCTGAGTCTTGAAGTTCTCAGATTGTGGGCCTTTGTGACTGTTGTGAGCCAGTGTTAATGTTTACTACCATCCTTGCATAGTAGCAGTGCCAGTAAGCCTTTACTTTCGGTGACAGTGATTTATATTTAAAGCAGTTTGGATTTTATGGATGTAGCTCATGATTATTTGAACAAGTAGGCCAGGTAAATTTTATGTTTAAAGTGCAATTAAGGAACTCAGAGAATTCTTTCTAGGAAAAAGGGTTAAGTATTTGTAGAATATTCTGGCATGAAAACATTTTGAACATTCATAGAGTTTTGACAAGATTTATATAATGTGATTTTTTAAAATTCAAATTTACTGTGTATTTAAGTTTTTGAGGAACAGAAAATTCTAGGCAAGGAGAATTGGATAATTTTTTTTTTCTGCTAACCATACATTTGTCAGTTGAAAGTTCCTTTTAAGTTTTCTTTTTCAACCCCCTTCCCCCCCAAAAAAGCCATTTTTCTAGAGAGGTAGCATTTTCTTAAAATGGAAAAAGAGAAATAGATCTACTGCTCTAAAAAAGAAACAACTCCACTAAATTGTGCCTTCTCTTAAATTATAGGAAGAATAATAGTAAAATTGTTTTAACTTTTTTTACCCCATTCCTTCTCATTTTCCCTTCACAACTAATCCCGTTGCTTCTGCCTGTTTGGTTTCAAATTGCTTTGGCCAAACCTCGCACTGTCAACAGCTGAAAGATGTTCACTAAATGTATTTTCTGTTTATTATGTTGTTTCATATAAGTCACCTTGGTAAATATTTGGCTGCTTTTCCATGCTTTTAAAAGGAATGCAACGAATCTTTGTATTTTAAAAGTTTGGAAAGGTAAGAGTTAATGCAGAGCTAATCTAATTGGAATCTGATTCCTTTGACTGCTATAGCAGTACAAGTCATATCCTCATTCAGTTTTCTCTTGTACAAAATGTGGATAATAACCTACCTCACAGGTGTGTGTGAGAAATGGAAGACCCTTGTTTAAATACAAGGTTTATACCCCCCCCCATTTAATGTATATCCTTTTTAAAATAGATATCTTTGATACTGATAGATTGAGTATCTTGACTTTTCGGTGAGTTTTATGAGGTAAGAAAATAGTCCCAAGAACTATTAAGATCAGTTTCATAAATTCTGGTGTTTTGAGATACTTAAAATTTCTTGAAAACATCAATTAGAATATTAACTTGCCTTTTGTTCCACCAAATATTCTTATTCAAAACTTTTTAAAATGTTGGCTGAAGCTGCCTTAATGTACCAAAATAACAGTTGTCAAGACTGTTCAATCATATATGGTTGTACCCTGTTTTCAGTATTTAAATGTGAAGTTGTTATAGAGCTACAAACTCAAATGATAGTATCTTGATACTGCTTTAGGAAGAATGGTCATGTTCTTTATCATGTGTGCTCAAATACTATACAGTGGATTTCAAGTGTGACAAAACTGAAAGTTGACAACTATTAGGTTATGTCTATGACAATCAATATATGATTGGATAGTAATTACTCAGTTTTTTCCCCAAGACCATCATGCATTCATTCTGTTTTGGTCCATTTCTGAAAAAACAAAACTATAGGTTGATACATTATCCCATTGGAGCACTGGACTATATCTCAATTTTAAAATGTTTATTGAAATCAGGACCACTGATTTCAGAAAAAAAAAAAAAAGACTTCCAGTGCTTTGATAACTGTAGACTCAAATTTCAGTTTTGTTTGTTACATGTTTTTTTGTGACTGTTACATGATCAGTGAGAAGGACCATCTTCCAGTAACTATGTGAAAAATGTCTTCTTGAATTACACAGCATTTCGTAGTTATGGGTTCTGTCTGTGGAACTCATAGGAAGCCACACAAATGAGAAAGGCCTGATTGCTTATAAGCTTTTTTCACAAAATCAAATTAAAGTCTGGTTAATTTAAAATCTGTTTTTGTTTTTTGTTATTAAGCTAATATTCTGCACATCAGCTAATAGATTGCTTATGATTGACTGGAGATCTCATACCATCTTTGTTCATTTTTGTCATTATATAATGTACATTTTAACTTTAGCCATTGTGTGAGTTTTCTGTTATTGCTATAACACGATAATAGAAATTTAAGGACTTAACCCAAATTTATGATCTTCCAGTCAGAAGTCCTTTTTCTGCTTCAAGTTCAACAGGCTAGAAACTAAGGCACTGATTGGAGCTGGGCTCTGGGAGAGAATGTGCTTCCAGGTTTGTTCAGATTGTTGGCAGAATTTCATTCCATAGTGCAGTAGGACCCTGTTTCCTTTCTGGGTGTGGACTAGGAGCTACTTTGAGCTTCAAGAAGCCACTGGCATCCCATGACTCCCTTTATCTTCAAAGCTGGCAACAAGGGGTTCACAGTTGGCATCTTTCCTTCCTCTTGCACCACTTCTCTGGCTCTCCAGCCACCGCCTTCCAGTTTTAAGGCTCCATATGATAGTTTGGCGCACCTGGATGCTGTTGGCTATCTCCCTATTTCAAGGTCAACTGATTAACAACCTTAATTCCATATATAAAATCTCTTTTGCAGAATCACATCACATGTTCACAGATATAAAACACCAGGGAGTAAAGATCATAGGGATCCAACCTATTGATTAGGGAGCCAAAGACCCAGCCCACTTCAGGCTAATACTAATGTATACTAACAGCTGCTGAGAGTAGAAAGCAATGTAGGTGTGACCCTACATTAGGTACTTTAATTAGCCACTTTCCATATTTACATTCTCTAAAATTAACTTTTTGAAAAACACTTGCAGTAAAAAGAATAATATAAACTTCAAAGGATATATAAGCTTTCAATTTGCTTTTCCTAAACTTTCAAGGAGAAAAATTTATTGAAAATGTCTTCCTGAATTGCTTGGGTAATGAATGCTTATTGTAGGAAATTTGAAAAGTACAAAAAGTTTGAAGTTGTAAAAAACATCACTTGTAGCTCTGTAACCTAGAAGCAGCAGTTACTGAGAGGATTATTGTTTTATATTTGTTTTTCTCCCATCCTAGTCTTCCCCCTAGAATATACATTTTTAAAGTTCTGAAGATGTGCAGAAGAGGGCTTAGTCGAGAAGGGTGCTGTGTCATCTTGGAGGACATCTCAGAGTGCTTCACAGATCTATTCAGGAGTGGAAGACAAGGTTCTGCTGCTGCTTGTTGTAACCTTTTAGATCTTAACCCCCATGCCCCAGGGGTGCTATTGGGCATGGTAGCTCTTTTATCTGGTAGGGCCTAGTGAAAGGCACCAGTGAAAGGAAGTTAGGTCTCAGGGAGTGTGCTGTGGAGACCCTGTCTCTGCTTCCTGGCTTTTTCTCCCTCCTTACTGGCTGCCATGAGGTGAGCAGCTTCCTCTGCTCTGCACTTCCACTGGATATGCTGCCTCACTGTAGCCCCAGAAGCAACAGTGCCAAGCCACCATGGACTGAGACATCTGAAATGGTGAACCAACGCAAACCTTTCCTCCAAGTTGATTGTCTCAGGTATTTTATTACAGTGACAGAAAGCTTAACACACTATAAATGAATGTTTGAGTGGACCAGTGTTAGCCTGTGTAAGGGTCTAGAGCCTTTGTGTGCTATCTTTTAATATAAAGTTAAAGTAGAAAATCTCTTCATTGAATATTTATGCTAGATTGGTTTCTCAGACACACATTGGCTTGGGCATCACTGAAGTCTTACAGCGTTTACATTTGAAAACCTTGCCTATCAATAACAAATTTAATTTGAATTCTTTGATTTTGAGAATGTGGCTGTTATTAGTGAATTGGAAACATAACCACATTAAGTATGATATGTAGATAGAAGCAGTTTTTCTGAAAACCTATGCCATATCCATATCCATAATTAGGCAATAGTTTATATTAGGCCAAATGGTTTGTACTGTAAAAATGTCTGATTTTTAAAACTGAACATTTTTCTATGCCTTTGTAAAATAAATTCTATACCAACCATTCTTTTAAGATAATATAAAAAAATGTCCTTTTCATTTTCAGCATCTTCCAAACTTCAGAAAAGGCCAGGCACAACAAAAACACACGGTATTGTGTATTAAGTATTTTAGAACACTGTGAAGTAGACAAGTATTTTTAGCTCAGTTGGACTAATGGGGAAATTGAGACCCAAAAAACTGAGTCATTGAATTAGAACAGAAACCCTAGGATGAGATGAAAGGGCATGGATCAAATTTATCTCAGTTCAGTTTAGTCACAGTGCTACCTAGAATGTAAATACTTCATTGTTTGGTGAAGTGGTATTATGGTTTAGATCTAGAATACCTTCCGAAAGCCGCATGTCTTCAGACGGGGCCTTTGGGAAGGTGACTGGATCATGAGGCACTGTAGCTGGCTTGCTGTTAGGGGGACCTGGTTAGAGCCAGGTCACCTGGGAGGATGTATCTCCCTTCTCTGCTCCTTCATTTCCTGGCCACCATTCCTCCCCAGGCCCTTCTGTCATTCCCTTGCCCTGGTGCCAACCAGTTATGCACTGAATCCTCTAAAAAATGGGAGCCAAAATAAACCTCTCATTTAAGTTGTGGGTGTTGGCTATTTTTACCCCAGCTACAAGAAGAGAAAGTGACTAAGTGGCAAGAATGATATATAGTTTGATATTTCTTTTTGGACAGGATTATTGCATGAAAAGTTTCTGTTGAATATGGCCTTTCTGACTCATTTCCTTGCCCCTAGGCCTGTGATGGCAAAACTTTTAAGAGCTTTTGGTGGTAACAAACTGCCCACTGCCACATGGGTGCCTTAGGTTTGCTACCACTGCCCTAAACCATACTTCCATTAGTGCCAGCTGTAACAGGCCTTGACTTGAGGGATCCTGTCCTTGCCTGCTATGTGGCAAATTTAATTTAGGGCTTCCAAGCATAAATAAATTCCCAGTATTTGGTACTAGCTTTAGTATCATCTCCAAAAAAAATCTCAAAGCTGTTTCATTCCCTAATTCTGCTCCTTACTTAATCTCGGTACCTAACCAGGCATCAAGATGTGATGTTTCCTTTCCTCTACTGGTGCTCCTGATACTATGTATTTCTGTTGTTGCTATCTTCAGTTAAGGTCCTCTGTTGAGAATATTACAAAAATAATAGTCTTAATCCATTATCTGTATTGCCGTGATTGTCTCTCCACTTCGAAACATCTGGCATTTCCTTCCTGCTTAACACTTCAGTAGCCTTGCTTACAAGAAGAAAAAGTCCAAGTCATCCTAGCCTGACACCCATTTTCCACCAGACTTACTGCGTTCCATTTGCCATGAGTCTCTGCTGTCATTAGGCACAGCGTGGATTTTCCATCTCTATGTCTTTGAAACCAAGCTTCAGTTTCTTCTTCGTAGCACCTTAGTTATCCTGCAGTCATTTCATTCATAACTTTTTAAATTCTGCTATTTGTAATAATCTCTTTACCTCTTTTCTATACTCTATAAATACCTTTAATTCCTGTCTTTTAGATTAACGTTGTCTTTATTGGCAAGTGCCAATTTTTGGAACGTACAAAAGAAAATACAAGAATGTGGAAGCTTTAAAAATAGTCTCAAATTATAAAGGACAAAGCTGTGGAAACAAATTCCATTATACAGTACCTTCAAAGGTTGGAATCACCCTGCTTAAAGAACATAGTGCAATTCTTCAATTTCAGTGCCAATAAAACTACAATTTAAAAAGTTGGATGCATATGTAGAATTTAACCCATTGACATGCAGTGTATATCATTTAAAATAGAATAAATGTTCAGCTCTGCTTTTTAATATGTTTACTTTTGTGAAAATACATATAAAGTATTTAAGCTTTTGAGCATACACAAAATAATTTTCCTTATTTTAGGCACCAAGATGCTTTAAAGTGATACCACACACACACATATATATATATATATATATATTTTTTAGATTTTGTTAAATGTTTTTAGACATTTCTCAACACATTGATTGAATTTAGGAATAATTTTTTTTCAGCACACTATTTCCAAAGAAAACTAATTTTGAACAGCATTTACTCACTTTTGTGATAAAGCAAAGGGACACTTATACTTTGAGCCATAATTATTTTCAGATTGTACCTTAAAGTTGAGTATTTAAAAAGACCTTGGCTACATTTACTGTCCAGAATTATACCAGATTTAATCCTGGAACAACATCTAGAAATTATTACTGAAGCAGATCAGCCATCTGCACAGCTGAGTAGGTGCCATAGGCATGATTGCTAAGTTTGGATATGGCTCATTAGGCGAGTGCTCCAATATGAACACACACTGTTTCACATTCTCCTGAACCAGCAGTGAAATAGACATTGAAAGATAAACTTAGGGTAAAACCAACACTAAATGTTGAGGCTTTGCGTTCACTTTTCTCTTCTGCATTCCCAAAGTTTCCAGAGATTCCATCTCATTTTGACGTGTAAACTGCTGTGAGGCAAGACAGGTCCTAGAATCCCTTATCCCTCTCACAGGCCTTCCCATCTAATTGCGACCTTCCTAATGGGACCAGCCTTGGTGCCTGAGGAGAAAATGTATAAACATTGTGAGACAGGGCCGGGGATTTAGCTCAGTGGTTTCACTGCCTGCTGCGCAAGCTCAAGAACCCAAGTTCGAGCCCTGGTACCAAAAAACAAACAACAAAAAAATAAACATTGTGAGACAGAGCTGAGGGAACAGTGAGGAGAGCTCTGGAAAATGTCTTACCCAGTTTAATATTTTCATGCTCCTTTAAGGTGTTTAAAATATGCTCTCTATAGAGACTCAAGAGGCACAGGAAAGAAGCCTCTTCCAGTGTAACCCTTAAAGCGTAGACAGGGCATTTCATACTTAATTTACTCTTCCTGAATTTCAGTAAGTTCTGTAGTCTTTCTGTAAGACTAATGCACACAACACCTATTACATATTTAGAACTCATGATTTAACATAAAATCAAACCACTTACTTGAAGTCTAGATGTTCAATGAGGACATATCCATCTACAGAAGCAAAAAATAATTTAGTAATTTGAATTTTTTTTTTTAAAGAAAATGCTTTAAGATTTTCTAAAAATTGAAATTTCATGGTCACTATGTCAATATTTGCTTACATTTGCCTTTTGAGTTGCGACATATCACTAGATTTTGATCAGTGGTATCAATGACTTCCAGTTCTTCCCCAGGAGTTATTGGCAAATCAAATATTCCATTTCTTGAATTACTGGAACATACCACTGCTCTGTTGATGACTGTAATTTCCTTGTCGTACTGAAATGAGAAATTACTAATCAGACCATGCTTACATAATATTTTTTCACTATAACAAAAGTAAATAGCATAATAACCTAAAAAAACCCCTCAAGATAGTACATATTAACACCCAAGGGAACACAGGATAACAGGAAGATACACAAAGGAAAGTCATTTAAGAAAATAATAAGATCCTATAATCTATGTGTTTGGTATGATTATTATATTTTCAAATCCATTATCTAATTGTACTAGAGTGAATCTTGATGGATAAGAAAGCTGTAACATGGATAGAAATTAAATGGTGGATAGTATGTAGACTTTTACAGTAATAAACTTAGGGAAAGTTTATTAAGCCCTTATAATGTTCTTAGATATCTATCATTTGTAGAGGTCACTCTCTCATCACTTTCCCAGTGAGCTTGTATGATAGTCCTTTACAGGGAGAGAACTCTCCATTTATAGTCATAGATACATTTGTGGAAAAAAACTACAATTTCTGACTCTACAGAAGTGTTTTTTTTCTATAGGATAAATTAGCTGCTGTCTACGTCCATAGGTACCTTACCTTCTGATGTATTAGAATCTGTTGAGCAGGAAAAAAATTTCCAGAATATGTAGTTTACAGATGTCTATTTCACCAAATTAGGGTGACCAAATGTATTTGCCAGGCTAGTCTCTGTTTATAATAATGACGCCATTTACAAATATTTATGATTAAGAGTTCCTCCAGGGCTGGGGATGTAGCTTAGTGGGAGAGCACTTGCCTAGCATGCACAAGGTCCTGGGTTTAATCTATAGTATTGCTTAAAAAACAAAATTCTTCCATTCCCTGAAGTATTTTGATTTTGGATGATAAATGATAAGATCACTTATAATACCAAGCAGTATAATCTACAAGGTAGATTATTTTCTCTTGGCATCCCCTCCCCCCTGCCATAGCTTAATACCTGTTCTTCCTCTCTCAGGACATTGTTTACCATGAAACTACAGATATTTCTTCACATAAAAATTAGATTAGGTCACCTTTGTGTTTATAAAGTTATGAAAACTCCATTGCTTTTAGGATAAGAGCCACATTTTTTAGCTTGCTATTCAAAGTCCTTTGCATATTGTCATTCCCCACCTTTCCATCTCTTTCCCCTTATTGAAACATGAAACTATGATAATCCTCAAAATACACCATGCAATTTTATTATTGCCATGCCTTGGCTCATGCTGTTTTCCTGCTTAAGTATTCATCTGCTTAACCACCTTTTGTACTTTTACAACTGCCATGTATAATTTAAACTGTACTGTGTATATACTCCTATTTCAGCATTTAGTAAACATACTGTCTTATAGAAAGACAATTACTCATCTTTTACATATATATAGAGAGGGAATCGAATTTGTGTCCCATATAAAACCATCAAAAATTCAGTGAGCATAAAAAGCAGTAGGTACAAGGTAGGGGTCTTTTCAACAAATAATTGCTACACTATTGTTTTTTACCTAATTAAGTAACATCGAAGTTTTCAAGGTGATTTCAGACCACAGTCTAGATGCAGTAACTGATCAGCTTTGCTCCAAGCAGGAATTATGGTGATTATGAGAAATTTATGGACATTGCTGTTTTAGTTCAGATCAAAAAGTTTTGGATGTTTACAAAGTGTTAGTCTTATTCTGCTCTGCTCATGAACATGAAGATAAATAAGACAACCCTTTTTATGACCTTACAGTTTAACATGGTGAACATATAATTGCAGTAAGCTAGAGGATGTTATGATATATAGGTACATTGAAGAAGAAGAATTTCTTTCATCAGGCAGTTGAGGCAAGTTTTCCTTGAAAGAGAAAATACCTCAGTTGGGTCTTAATAAATGAACAAATTGGAGAGAGAAGCAAGTGTGTACCAGATAGAGCAGACCGAGTACGCTTAGAAATGAAATAGCAAGACAAAGATAGAGATGGTAGTTTATTTTAGGCACAAAAGTATGAGCAGAGCTCATAGTTGCCAGAGCACAAGGTATAAAGATGGAGTGGTAGGAAGATAAAACTGGAAAGATAAGCAAAGACCATGACACAAACAGCTTCACATGCCATCTTAGGAAACCTACACTTTATCAGTTTGGCAGTGGGGAGCTTTTGAAAGATTTTAGGTTGACACTAGACAAATTTTATGAATAGGATGCATACTATCTCCAACCAGTGTTTGGCACATGGATAGTATTAAAATGTGCTGCTTAATCCTCACTTTGACAATACGTATGTGAAATCAGGAACAGTCACTTGAACTTTAATGGAAAAATGCTCCATGGACTTTTTTTTTTGTTTTGGTACCAGGGATCGAACTCGGGACCTTGTGGTTGTGAGGCAGGCACGGTGCCGCTGAGCTAAATCCCCAGACCCCCATGGACTCTTAATGACAGAGTAAGATGTCAGAGAATTTCAGATGCTGCTTCACTCATTTATCACTCATTTGTTTATAGTCACTCACTCACTGAATATTAAGTGTCCAGTTTTATGTTGGACACTGGGGAGTAAAGTTGTTCAGACAAGATCACTTTACAGAGACCCAAGATCAGTGTGCACACATGTGTTGTAATATAGCCGATTAGTATTTTATGTGTATAGTAGGTATATAAGGTGTGCTGAGGGAGTGACTACGTGGAAGAGCTAGGAAACGGCGGCTAACCTTTGTTTTTGGTTTTGATTTTTGATACCAGGGATGGAACTCAGGTCCTTGTGCTTGCAAGGCAGGTGCATTGTCACTGAGCTAAATCTCTGACCCTAACCTTTGAATAGAGCCGTAAAGAACTCTTAGGAGTTTTCCCAGGCAGAATAGCATGTAGAAAGGAGTGTCAGTATAGAACTGCATCAGGAAAAAAACCAAAGTATTGCCATGGCAAATTTAAAGATCCTTAAAAATGGAATTTGTCAGCTATTAATATTCCTAATTCATACTTTCAAAGGAGAACATACCTGAAATCGTTGTCTAAAAAGCTTTTCTTCTCTTACTCTATTCTTTTCTAAGGAGTTTTGCTTCTTGATTCTGAAGAAATTTCTAGGAAAAAAACTGGCAAGAAATATACATGTGGGGTTAAATGTACTATAATAAAATTCTTACATTTCCAAATACCCATTCTGTTTAAGGATAAACTCGGGTATAATTTTGTGTATAACTATAAAATCATACACACGCACATATATACACATTTATACATGTATATTTATATACATTAACACATGCATAATCCCTCCATTATAGCTGATTGTCAAAAAACTGGAAAAAAGGTGAGTAGTACCAATTAATTTCTCCTGCCAGTTAAAAAAAATGTATATATAGTATATATGTGTGTATGTGATGCTGGTGTGTGGCATGCTAGGTAAGCCCTTCACCACTGAGATACACTCCCAGTCTTATAATTGTGTGTGTGTGTGTGTGTGTGTGTGTGTGTGTGTGTGTGTGTACATGTCTGATCATCAAACCCAGGGCATCACACATTCTAAGCATGTATTCTACCACTGCACCCTAAAAATTTTTGATAGATAACTTGGAATAAATTCAGATTGGTAGATGACTAAGTATAGGAGTGCAGTTGGATAAGAATAGCTTTTAATCCTCTGTAGCACAGTCAGCATAGTTGATAATGACTAATCATATATCTCAAAATAGCTATTAGAAAGGATTTTTTAATGTTCCCAACACAAATGATGAATGTTTGAGGTGATGGATATGCCACTTGAACTGATGATTATAGTTTATATACATGTGTTGAAATGTCACACTGCCCCAAAAGTGTATACAATTATGTCAAACTAAAAATCAGATCTGTTAAACAAGAAACTTCTCTGGGACTTCTCTCAGACCTATTCTTTAAAAAAAGAAAAACTTAAGAAAATTTATAAATCTTCATGCACTCACTTTCATATTGTTTAGTGGGAATCAGAAACAGTGACAAGGCTTACATTTTGTGGCTTTCCTACTTGTCAAGTATAATCAGTGAATCACAGATCTACATGTTTCAGTCAAATAACTATCCTCTTTCCTGAATGATTCGGGAGATGGATAGAGTGAAGAAAACAAAGCTAGGTGCTACAAAACGTGCAAGAACAGTGGCACCTGAAAGCGGGTAAACTTGCAGCAGTAGCTGAATACCCTGTGCCGCCTCCTTTACCCTCCTTCCTGCTTTTCACATGGGGCTTATTGACAAAAGGAAAAATGTCAACTAAGTCCTATTGGTTTTATTTGGAAGTGACTTTTACATCTATTTTTTCCCAAAATTTTTCACTGCTACATTTCAGATTATCAGCACTTCTTGCCTGAAACTCTACCTTATTCTTGCTACCCTCCTTTTAAAAACCAACCTGCATACCTGCTTTCAGGGCCATCTTCCTGCAATTTAATTAATCATGCCACTGTCTTGCTTAAAACCTTTTAGTGTTTTTCTGCTGCCTACAGGAAAAGCCCAAATCTATTAGCATGGTACACGGGCATTTTATAATTTCCCCCAATCTACCTTTCCAGCTTTGCAAGATGCCCTTTTCCCTACACATACAATGTGTACATGGTCATCTGAGAAAGCGGGTTGTCCTTTTTACACCTTTCGATCTAGATAACCCTTCTCATATTCTCTTAAAACTTGACATCTTTCATTAATGACATAGTAAAAGAATTGTGATACATAAGGCACTTCTTATTGATAGAATCAAAGAACACATGGACATTGATACATCAATTTACAGGAATAACGATACCCTAGCTATTGCATTTTCAAATTTATTCAGTTGACAGCAAAAATTTACTATTATGTCAGTTTAAGGGAAAAAAAAAGCACTAGAAAACTTTCCTAAGAAGGCTTATTTGTGGCTTTCAACATACTGAAAAGCTTCATTAGGGGAAAGGTCAAAATTTTACTGATACTTCCCCTCTTGGAGTTTTATTTTGTTGTGTTATGTGAAGATATGTAAAAGTATGAAGTTCAAGGTAAAAGGTTGATTTTCTAGATTGTGTATATATTTTGGAAAAATTACATCAAGTCTACACACAAACTTAAGGGAAAAGCCGTCTTATGCCATCCCTCTGAGTTTAGATTTGGTACTGACTGATTTCTTTTGCTGTGTCCCAGTAAGACTTTTTCTACATAGATTTCCTAGAGCAGACAGACTGCAGTGTTCATAGCTGTTTACTAAAGATTTCTCCAAGACATTTGTTAAAAGTAAGCCCCACAGCTCCTGCCCCATACTCTAGCAACTGTGAAGATGGGCACAGAGCATAGGTAAACATCTGAGTCAGTAAAACATGCCCTGCCCAGAAGCCAACTGGGAACTTGGATCATATGAACAGAAGATCTTGAATTGAGAAAACATTTGTTCTAAATACTAATTATAACTGGAATTGTATTTTAGGGAAATCATTGTATGATACCAGTTTCTCTTTTTCTCAGAATTTCATATAAATTCCAATTGATGTTGTATTTAACTTTTCTATAGGAGAAAAGTTCTTATAGCCTAAAAGAGGAGTAGAAGTTTTTCATTTGATAAGTGCTACTTGAAAGTTTTTCTTACTCCCCATCTGCTAAGAGAAGGGAAATTTTGTATCATTGTCATTTTTAAAAACTTTTTATTGGTCAATGCTTGTGATACGTTTTCCATGGGGAGTCATGCATACATATATATACATACATATACCTACTATGTATCATATATACACACATATACATGCTATGTATCATATATATACACACTATGTACCATATATATACATGCATATACACACTATGTATCTTTTATATATACATACATATACATACTATGTATCTTACATATACATACATATACATACTATGTATCTTTTATATATACATACATATACATACTATGTACTATATATACATATACGTGCTATGTATCTTACATATACATACTATCTTACATATACATACATACACATACTATGTATCATATATACATACATATACATACTATATCTTATATATACATACTATGTATCATATATACATATACATACTATGTATCTTATGTATACATATACATACTATGTATCTTATATATACATGCATATACATACTATGTATCTTTTATATATACATACATATACTATATCATATATACACACTGTGTATCATATATATATATATGTGTGCATCTTGATCCTTTTTACTTCCCCTTCCCTCCCCACCTTCTTGTCTCCCTTTATTCCAAGATGCCCTTCCCATGTCCACAAAGTCTATCTTCCTCTATTTTTTATTCTCCTCTTAACTGCACTGTGATGTAGGTATTGTTGTTCACTTTGTGGATAAGGGACCCAAGAATCCAATTTTATGACTGGCCTAAGATTAGACAGTTAAGTACAGTTATAAATTACAACAGAGAAGCTGTAATGTAAATGCACCTGTGTTCCTACCTTTCTGATCCTTCAACACGGTTTTTCTCTTTTTTTCTTCTTGGTATAAGAAAATTGGGCCTCCAAGTTTTCATTTTATCTTCATGACTGAAGAGAAAAGTGTTTTGAGCAAGTATTTTAAAACTGAACTATTAAAACATTTATGGAATCAACTTTCTGGGCAGTTGTTTTACAAAAATTTAAAACATCTAGAAAAATAGTGCAATAGTCTATGGCAAGGCTGTAGAATATCTTAAACTTTGCAGACCGTATCTCTATAGCAAGTATTCAACTCTATTCTTTTGGCTTTATTTACAAAAAAAAGTGGCACAGTTTGCCCATGGGAGATAGTTTGCTGACTTCTGATCTGTAGTGATTCAGATTTCAACTAGAAGAAAGAGATTAGGTGATAGTCACATTTCATTTCTTTTCTGAGCTTTAGTCTCTCCTAAAATGTGAATACTTCTACTAAACTAACCAAGTTTTGCATTTGGGGGTCTAGGCAGAAGAGAATACAGGAAAAGACTAACCAAGTATTGCATTTGGGGGTCTAGGCAGAAGAGAATACAGGAAAAAGAATATTATAGAAGGAACTAATACTGTTTGAGCACCTATGTGTCAGGTTTCCTACACATTTTATAAAAGTTAACTTTTGTTTTTCATAGTAAGCACTGCATTAATCCTTTAATGTACAATGGTACCTTGGTTCACAAACTTAATTCTTTCCAAGATTCTGGGGAAGATGGCCCCATTTGTGTTCATTACCAGATGTGGAGTTCAGGAACAGAAACAAAATTTTGCTGAATGCTTCTGTTGCAAACCACATTGTTCACAAACAGAAGCATTCATGAACCAAGGTATTGCTGTATTCCTAAAGTTTAATAAAGAAGGTAATGAAACAGAGCTAGATAACATGGTTATAGAAAGTTAGTACTGATGGATGTAAGTATGTATGATTCCAAATTCTGTTCTCTTTCACTGTACCTATTCCAAAATATTTTTCCTAAGTCATTGATGGGCAAAAAAGGACCCCCCTTTATCACCTACCTGTATCTCTGTGGTACTGACACACCTGAACACTCAGTAATTCTTCATTGGGCAAATTATAAACAGAGACATTATGTCAGAGGAATTTGAGATTTTAAAGGGCATTATATCATGATTCCCTTCAGATTATGGTCACAAGCATCCAACAGGATGCTAATTAAGGACCTAGCACTTTCCAGCATTGAAGATGGAGCATAGGGAAGCCGTTCAGTAGCCCTCTAGGACTTGTTTAGAGAACTGTAGTCCCTTTCTTCCCAGCTTCTGTTACCTTTGGAGCCTATAAAAAGGAGCTCAGCCTCTATTATCTACCTGTTCCACATTCACTCATTTTCTCTCCACTTTAATAAGGCTCCCAGAAAGTGGTATATAGACATACCACATATCCAGAGATACTTATCCTAAGCTCAGCACCATGTCAGGTACACTGCAAGGATTCTGTATGTACTTGTGCATAAAATTGGTTGGAAAGAGCTATAATTATAAGAAGGAATAGGCATGGGAAAGCTCTGGTTTGGTTATTTTCACTGATTAGAAAGCCGAATCACTTGAGTAATTAAATACAGTAAAACTTTGGATTATGAATAACTGGTTCATTGAGTGTTCCACAAGATGAGCAAATACTTGTAAAAAGACAGACTCCCTCACTTTTTGGATCACTCTAGCAGTACTTTAATCAAGAGCAGTAACTTGCTATCAAGTAGTACATGATGCTGAATGTCACATGATCACACCTGAGCCAACGGTTCTTCTATCTGTCCCCCTTAACCACCCCCCTCATGGGATTGTGGGTGGTAAGTCTCCCAACAGCAAGAGGTTATGGAGATTGTGTCTACAGAGGAGGAGGAAGAGAAAAAGACTCCCTCATTTTAAATGACATTAGGGAGATGTGTAAAATGTGGAAAACGGTGCAGAATTGTATAGAAAAGCACCACCTGAATAAGGCTGTAGCAGTGAAAATGATGGGTCTGTTTAACAATGCAATGTCACATTTCCATGAAATCCTCAAAAGGAGGCAAAAGCAAGTCTCATTGGATAGGTCCTTGTGAAAGTTACATGGAAAGAAAAAGATCCCACTGAGCTAATAAATAGATAGCAGTGATTCTGTTAGCTGAGACCAGAACTACAAGCAAAGTGTGTGTTGAGGGGAATGCTAGTATCAGCTCCCAGTATTCCAAAAGATTGAACCTTGCATTCCAGGCAAAGTAGGAGTTAAGATAGTGTCACTGTGGCTCTTTTTTTAAAAGCCAAATTCAATTACTTGGTATTTATACAGAATGCAGTGAGAGTACAGAAAAGAATTAAAAATGTATATTAGAATTGTTATGTATTTGTATATTAAGATACATGTAAATTAAAAAATTCATGCTAAGAGAATACTAAAAGCAAGGACAGATGAGTATATTATGAGTATGTTATATAAGATGAACTATAAAGAGCATTACTAGAAGATACATAAATGGATCAGAAGCCTAATTACTTGTGTTCAAATTTTAGTTCTACCTGTTCTATGCTCTTGGGTGAGTAGCTTAACAACTGTTTTCTCAGTCTCTCTTCTGTAAGTATATAACATCAATCCCACAGAAATGTTGAGAAGATTTAATGAGTTTATACACATCAAATGTATAAAACACTGCCTGACCCATATAAAAGCCATTATTTTGTTATTAGTAGTATAAGGGATATAGATCACTATAACAGAAATACTTATCTCACTAGAAGATATTTACATTTTTATATGCAACTAATAAAAGAGCCCCAGAATAGAAGCAAAATAAAAATGGTAAAACCTCTGAAACTGATAAATCTACCATCCTTGTATGAGATTCCAATTTATTTCTCTGAATTATTGATAGATCACACACCTAAACATTCACAAATATATAGATTTGAACAAGAGAATTGACATGTTTTATTTAAAGGATAAACACTGCAATTAAATAAATCATTTTTCTAGAGCATGCATGGAATATTTATAAAAACAGACCATATACCAGGCATGAATTACATCTCAGCACAGGTATCAATTACTTTGTCAGACCACAGTACAGTTAAGATAGAAATGACCACTGGAATAGAATAGGGAACCTGGGAATGGACTTTCAGATATAACAACATAGTGTTAAAGATCAATGAGCAATATAAGAGAATATGCAGTAAATCATGCACAGACATTTTTTTACATGTGGAAGAAAATGTAACTGGATCTCAACTGTAGATATGAAAGTTTAGGTAGAACTGAGAATTAAGTGTAAAAGACAAAACTACAAAACTTTTGGAACAAAATAGGATATCATTGGTAGTTTTCTGTAAGAGATGTAAAAAGCAACTGTCAGAAAGGGAAAGTTGATAAGTTCAAATACTTTAAACTGAAGAAATTTTGTTATTCATTGGAAAACTAGAAAAGAAATTGAAAATACAAATCACAGTGTGAGAAAATAGTTCTGGTAAAATGCATAAAATTGGCAAATGAATTACATTTTGAATAATTAGGAGGAAGGGTGGGGATTTAGCTCAGTGGTTCCGCCGCCTGCCTTGCAAGCACAAGGACCCGAGTTTGATCCCCAGTACCAAAAAAATAATAATTAGAAGGAGATCCAAGGTGGCTGAATAGAGGAGGAGTCACATCTGAGAGACTCAGAGAAGATCAACTAAAAACCCATGTAACTGGAAGAGAGGGAAGGACATATAACCTGCTACAGAAAATCAATTTGAAAGAAGATACTTGTAGATCAAACAAAACAGCCAAACAGGAGTTAAAAAGAGAAGAAGCATCTGCCAGGGCCCACACCCTTGTCCACCCTAGAAACAGCTGTCTTGAGAACTTCCCAAATAGCCAGAGGGAACCAAAGAGCACTGCAGAGACTAGCCTCCCAGGATAGAGTCGGTATATGGGCCCCTTCACTCCATCATTCCCTCTCCAAATACTGAGGAAGCTGCAACCCTCCAGCATCCTTACTAGTGTCCACTAAGGATGGAAAGTTCCCTCCCTCCCTACCTGACCCCGGGCACCAAGGAGACCACTGAATGGCGACCACTGAGTCCACTCATGCCAAAGACACCACCAGGCACCTTAAGTTGGTCCCACAGCAACTAGGACTTCCAGCTAGCATACAGTTAATGCCAGTCCTATTTGTGCCTGGCACCTCCAGATGGCTTGAGTCCCCTCCCAGTAGCCACTGCCCCACAACCACCCCTAGACCTGCCAGAGACTCGGTCTGACATTCTGTACCAGTCCTGGGCTGCCTGGGTCTCCATGGGGAGTCCTAGTCCTGTGTAAGTCTTCACCTGGTGCCTCAGACCTGTTGGAGCCTCCACTCCACACCAATTCCCACCCCCCCTCCACTGTGCATTAGTCTCCATCCGGCACTTCATCATGGTCCTTGGCAGAGTGTGCACCCAGCACACTTGGCCAGTCCAATGCCCACTGGAGTCTGCCTGGCTCTCAACTGGTTAAGATCTGCTTGATGTTCCCAGTACCCTAGTTTGGAGTTTTATCACCCATTCTCTTGTACTCAAAATATTGGACTAGGACTTCCTTTTCTCTCTGTTGCAATTTGTTTTCTTAGTATTTTTTCTCTAGTTTCTATTCTTCATGATTTTTCTAGTTGTTTTTCTGTTACTGTTATCTAAAATGACTAATTTTCTTTTACTCCTTAATGGGATCTTTTATTTCAATTTTACCACCTTACCATCTATTTCTTAATTTGTCAAATTCTGTATTTTTCATGCTCCCATTCCCATACCTCTGTCCTTGCTAGTATAATCATTAACCCTTTTGAATCAGTAGATAGTTAATTATGTCTTGCTACAGTTTAACACCGTTCTATTGTCAATGGAGGTAAAATTGCTCTATTGAGCATTTACTGTATATCAGTATCTGGTTTGTCTTAAGAGTTTGTACTTTAACTATAGATCTCACTTTTATGGTGAAATGTGGTACAGTGTTAGTTCTTAGGGTTTGTCATTATCCAGTTTGTATTTTATGCTATTGTTGTGGATGATATTACTACTTTAGCCAAGGTGATATAGGTGTTGCTATCAATTGGTTTTCTCTGTATGTCAAATATCTAGATTGCCTGGGGGTCATAAAAATATTGCAGTCTAGTCCCAAAGAACTGGATACTGGGCCAAATAGGCTACAAACTCTCCTTTTCAATAAACAGAGGTGGTTGAGTCCTGGGAGAGAGCCAAAGGTTGATAACTAGCTACACCCAGAGGACATCTCTGAAAAGTAGACATTGCTTAAAAAGGTCTCCATATTAGCAGTAAAGCTACCCACCATATGCAATCTGCAATCAGCACACACACACAAAAATAGAAAATGAGAAAGCAAGGAAGCAAAATGCCTCCAAAAGCTCCTAATTTCCCCAAAGCAAATCCAGGAAACACTAAGGGAAAAGAAAAGCCACACAGCTGATCTGAAATGGCAGCAGTGGAGTTAACAAAACAGATGCAGAGGCAAAATTCAAAGGCAAAACAGGCAGATTTCAAGCAGTGATAATTGAGGAAATAATGATCCTAATAAATGATCAGTGAGTCTAGAGAAGATATAAAAAACCTAGAAGAACTAAAGAAAGAGATCCAAGCCATGAATGCCCAGCATAGAAAAGAATTGGAATCTATAAAATGACATAGAACCGCACAAAGACATATCACAGTCAAGGTTCCAAAAATCGAACACAAGAATAGAATCTTGAAAGCTTTTAGAGAAAAGAAACACATCACCTATAAAGGAAACCCATCAGAATTACAGCACACATCTCAACACAAACCCTAAAGTCCAAGAAAGCCTGTAGTGAAGTGTTTCAAACCCTAAACCAACGTCCAGTCCAGATTGATGTATCTTTCAAAATTGATGGAGAAATAAGATACTTCCATGATAAAAAGCACCTGAAGAAATTCATGACCACTGAACCAGTATTCCAAAAAATTCTCAAGAATATCCTAGAATGAGACAATGAAAACAACCATGCCAAAAAGCCCAATAGAATGAACCCACCAGGAAAAGTGAACAATTAACCAGCAGGGAGAGAAAGGGAACCAAAGCCAGGAAAATAATGTAACGACAAGGATGTCAATACTTATCCGTTATAACCATCTATGTAAATGGTCTCCATTCACCAATCAAAAGACACACATTAGCAGAATGGATCAAAAAAACAAGATCCAACAATATGCTGCAAACAGAAACATTTAACCTAAAAAGAAACTTACAGACTGAAAGTCAAAGGATGGAAAACAATATTCCATGCAACAGAAACCCAGGAAAAAGCAAGAATAGCTATCCTAATTTCAGACAAAGTGGATTTCAAGCCAAGACTGAGCAGAAAACAAAGGTCATTACATCCTCATTAAGGGAACAATTCAACAGGAAGATATAACAATTGTAACTATATATGCATCAAATAGCACACCCAACTTCACAAAACAAACACTAATGGACATGAAAAATCAGATAAGCACTAATGCAGTTTTAATGAGGGACTTCAGTACTTCACTGTCACAAATGGGAAGATCAATTAGACAAAAAATCAAAAAAAGAAATTTCAGAGTTGAATCAAACCTTTGAAAAAAATGGACTTAATGGGTAACTACAGAGTGTTCCATCCAACAACAGAATGCACTACTCAGAATACACTACTCAGCAGCACATGGTACTTTCTGCAAAATACATCACACACCAGCCCATAGAACACACTAAAATAAATGCAAAGGAATAGAAATTTGCATGTTATCAGACAATAGCACAGTGAAACTAGAAATCAACAGCAAAAGACACCACAAAATTATGCAAAAACGTGGAAATTAAGTAATACCCTCTTGAATAATCAATGGTTCACAGATGAAATTAAAGAAGTTGGCAGTTCATTCAATCAAATGATAATGTCAGTACAATATATGGGAACCTAGGAGATACAAAGAAGTCCTAAAAGGAAGTTTACAGCAGTGAATTTCCATATCAGAAAAACAGAACGAGTTCAAATAAATAACCTAATGATGCCCTTCAGTGTTCTAGAAAAACAAGAACAATCCAAACCCAAAGCTAGTATGAGGAAAGAAATTGTAAAGATCAGAACAGAAATTAATACAATTGATATCAAAAGTAATACACAGGATCAATCAAGAATTGACTCTTTGAAAGATTAAATAAAATAGACAAATCCTTAGCCAACTTTATCAAAATAAGGAAAGACCCAAATCCATCCAATTAGAAATGGAAAGGGATAAATCACAATGGAGTCTGTAGAAATCGAGAAGATCATTGGTAATTACTTTGAGAAACTGTACTCTAATAAAATGGAAAATTCAGAAGAATGGACAGATTTGTAGATACCTATGAACTACCAAAGCTGAATGAAAAAGATACAAAAGTCCTGAATAATGCAATATCAGTCTATGAAATTAAAAAATAATAAAAACTACCAACTATGAAAGTTCCAGGTCCCAGTGGATTCACTGCCAAATTCTACAAGAATTTTAGAGACGATCTAATGTCAATACTCCTCAAACTATTTAATGAAATCGAAAGAGAATCATTACTCCCAAAGTCATTCCTGGAAGCAAGCATTACCCTGATATCAAAACCAGAAAAGGACCCAACCAAAAAAGAGAACTACAAGCCAATCTCCTTAATGAACATAGATGCAAAAATTGTCAGTAATGTATTGGCAAACAGAATATAGCAAATCATCAAGAAGATTATATACCATGAACAAGTAGGATTCATTCCAGGGATGTAGGGATGATTCAAGATACACAAATGAATAAATGTAATACACCGTGTTAACAGAAGCAAGAACCAAAACCACATGATCATTTCAATAGATGCTGAAAAAGCATTTGACAAATCCAACATCCATTCAAGATAAAAAAAAAAAAACCCTGAAGAAAATTGGAATAGAAAGTTTTTATCTTAATCTTATGTAAGCCATCTATGACAAACCAATGGGCAACATCATACTAACTGGAGAAAAACTGAAAGCTATCCTTCTAAAATCAACATCAAGACAAGGATGTTTACTATCACCATTCCTGTTCAATACAGCTCTTGAAACATTAGCCAGAGCAATTGGACAACTGAAAGAAACAAAAGGAATATGGATAGGAAAAAAAGAAGTTAAATCATCATTATTTGCTAATGACCTTCCACACAGAAGATCCCCAAAACTCCACCAAAAGATTCCTAGAATTATAACCAAATTCAGTGGTGTGGTGGGATACAAAGTCAATACTCAAAAATCAATGGCATTCCTGTACATCAATAACAAACTCAGCAAGAGAGAAGTTAGGGAAACAACACCTTTCACAATAGCATAAGAAACGTGAAATACTTAAGAATTAACCTAACCAAGGAAGTGAAAGACCTCTGCATGAAAACTATACAACTCAGAATAAGGAGATTGTAAAGGATATCAGAAAATGGAAAGATAACCCCTGTTCCTGGATAGGCAAAAACCAATATAGTAAAAACAGCCATACTTCCAAAACTGTTATATACATTTAATGTAATCTCGATCAAAATACCAATAGCATTCCTCACAGAAGAGAAAACAATTCTAAAATTTTTATGGAACCAGAAGAGACCTAGACTAGCAAAAGCAATTCTGGGCCGGTAGTATAGGTTAAGAAGTTGCCAGCGGCTGGATCCTAAATGAATCTCATGTCTTCCTAAGCATTGTGGACTTCATCCTTAGAGTGATAGATAGCCACTACAGAGTTTTAGGCTGGTGGGTCACGGGGTTTTTGGCATGCTCATAATTGCTCAGGAAAGTGAATGGAAATGGAGGTAAAATGGTCATTTGGGAAGTCGCTTCAGTAATTCAGCTGAGAAACAACAAAGGCCTAAACGGTGGCTGTGCAGTGGGGAAGGAGCAGTGGGAATGGCTTGAGTGTTACTGTGGGGAGCAGTGGGGTGTGCTCGGCAGAAGAGGAGGCCAATGCCTAGAGTTTTGACTTGGGCAACTGTGTTGACTGAAACACTAACAGAGAGATGAGAAGGGTTGAGATTTGAATGGGAAGGATTGACATCCTCCATTAAGATGGACATCTCAAGCTTCAGATAGTTATCCTGTAGGCTTAGTGAAGCTCTGACCTCAAAATGTAGATTTTTATATCATTGCCTTAATGATTATAATTGAGCCCTGGGTATAGATGAGAGAATTCAGGAAGCACATATAATGGACCAGAAGAGAATGAATGGTTAGAGGAAATCTCAGGAACACATAGTATTTAAGATATGAGTGGTAGAATTAGACTTTACACACACACTTAGGAAAAGCAAGCAAGAAGATGGATAAGAAGTGATAACATGGAAACCTAGGGAAAATATTTTTCCTTCAGAGGATGACAGAATCAAAATTTTAAGATGTTATAAAGAAGCCAAGTAAGATATTCAAAAGTAGCCACTGGATTTAACAGAGGAGTTATCAGTGACTACCAAAAACAAGTTTACTAACATAATGGGAACAGAAATCTAATTTCAGTGAGCAAAGAAAGATGAATTGAAGATAAGCTGGGGTGACCTTTACTTTTAGCCCTTTAGTTGAGAGGAAAAGGACAGAGTAGGTAGAAATGGGACAATGAGTCTAAGGATGGTTTCTCTTTTTTCTCTTAAGAGTTTATAGTTATTTCGTTCCTGAAAACAGAGCTTCTGTCAAATAGTCCTCACTTTCTTGCATGTTGCCTCCTCCCGCAAAGGAGATTATTAAAGAAATGTGCTGAAATGAGTTTCAAGTCTCTAGGTTCAAAGATAAACAACAACATGTTCCAAAGCTCCCTTGCCCTTCGGATCACTACCGCTGTTGATCATTGGTGTTATTCATCAAGTCCGTTTGTGCTGGATGAAGTATCCTCTTTTCATTCAGTCTTCAAGGGTCTGGAGAGAACCCTCTCCGACCATATTTAACAGAGCATCAGGAAATGGGTCAAATAGTAGCAAGGACAGTATGGTAAATTAACTTACTTAGATTTTCTCTCACTTGTGGTGACATCATCATAGATGATAACTTCCTGAGACCTAAGTTCTAGGATCAAGATGGGATCAAAACAATCCATTATTAGGTATGTTTTATACTATGGCTGGCTTTTCAAATTATACATTACTTAATTATTCAGATGAATCATCATGGCTGTTTTATCAAAATCATACTACACAGAGAGGCTGGAACAAAAAGGTTTTTTGGGGGAAGCAATTCAACTGATAGATTAAAAAAATTGATGCCCTAGTATGTTAAGCACATATGCGTGTTTATATCAATTTGATTTCATTGAGAGTTCAGAAAATATGAGTTGCTGAAAGAATCATTTTTAGACAAGTTCCCATCTTTCTGTAACTGGAAAAAAGATTTATACTGCTCGAATATGAAAAGGCTTTTCTTAATTCCCAGTAGGAAAGAAATTCATTAGGATAATAATGTTCAATTCCATGAGATCTTTTATTTTAAACCATTAGAAAACCCTTTATAATCATCTTGGATTAGATTCAATCTGCTTTAGTACATAATCATTTTTAGAGATTTTCAGTTTATAATATTCACCTGCCTTGACACTTCACATAGAACTTTGTGGTTTTTCAAGTGATTCACCATTTGAATGAATTTGAGACCTTTTGGCATAAGTATTCACAGTTCAGATTCAATTCATGATTATTCATGGCATCAATATTTTCTTCCATACCTTTAAATTTGGATGGAGGTACACACTGATATCCCTTATTTGAAATGCTCAGGAATAGAGGTTTCAGAATTCAGATCTTTTTGGGTTTTAGAATATTTGCATATATATAATGAGCTATCTTGGGAATGGGGCACAAATCTAAAGTAGAAATTTGTGTTTCATACACACCTCACACCGAGAGCCTAAAGGTAATTTTATACAATATTTGCACTGTGCCTGTGTTTTAACTACAACCTATCACATTTGGTCAGATGTGGAATCTTACACTTGTGACATCAGGTCAGGACTCAAAAAGTTTTGGATCTTAGAGCATTTTGAATTTTAGGATTTGGGATTAGGGTTGCTCAAACCCAAGTTTCTCTATGAAATAGAATAGGGGTGCATCCCTTAGAGTAAGAGGACATTCCTGTTTCAGTTAGTTGTTTGCTTTTTTTAATGCAGACCAAGGGTATGTTAAGAGTTTCAATTTTACCAGGTATATATAATCCTTGTCATTTACTTCTAAAAAGTCCTATTTGTGAAATATAATATACATTTGAATTGCTAAATCAGAATGAAATCAAAGTAGCTACATGACTAGAGCCCATAAAAACCAATGAATAACAACACTTGTTCCTCTTTTATGGACAAATTCAGCGTTCGCACATGTACTGAGAATATACTGTCAGACACTGGCTAATTTGTGCACTGTTGTTTTAATGGCAAAGCAAACAATATTTCAAAGACCTGTTCTTGGTTCAGTTACTGTGCAGGCTGCAACATGATCAGAATTCAATTTCGTATGTCTTAGTAAAGTGACCTGGCTATCCAATCCATGAAGAAGTATGTGGTATAATGCAAAATGTGTGAGTTTCATAGTCAAGAAGGTTGGATACAAATCCCAGATCACTTAAGTATGGATGTGGGTCCTAGAGCCTTTCTGAAAAGATATGACAGCATCTATTTCCCTGGGATTTTAAGAGGAAAGCAGCTCTTCCTGCATGTGGTAAGTGGTAGGATTTGAAAAAGCTTTCTTATCTTCCTCACAATAAAAGTACTCTTGTGTGAGAGATCCTTTTTGATTTTGATGGGCCTTTTTTTCAAATATGGAAACACGGGATTACCATTTCTTTTTCCCTGCCCCTCAATAGACTAATGTCCAAGTACCTTTAGTCACCAAGAAGTAAATGTCACTTACGTAAATCAGGCAGTGAAACTGAAAATGCCCTGTGGATTGACAAAAGACATGACAAGGTCAAGGACAAAGCCTCGTTCGGAAAAATTAGCTCCTACATTTCACATAACATAGTGATAGTTAGGTGTCCTAGTCCAGATGCTTCTATGCAAGGATGTTAAGCACACCTCCTTTAGCCTTGTTATGATCACATCCAACTTTCACCACTACCACCACCAAACCTATTCAAAATGTGCTTTGTTTATCCCCACTGACTGCCTGTACCCCATTTCCTAACAGCAAATCAGGATGTCCCCTAGCCTCAACCTTCTCCTTCCACAGAATCCTATTTCTGTCTGTTAACCTTCCAGAAGGCCAATTACATACATTCGATGTGTATACATATTGTGAGAGAGAATAACCCACTGGTGAATTGATGAAGACCCTCTGTAGACACTGCGCCTTGCCCATGTTGGTTCAGGCAAAGCGGGACTTTGTGTATCTGTCAGCCTGGCCATATTACTGCCCTCCTGGACAGAGAGATAAAGAGAGACTTTTACCTTAAATTTTCTTTTGACTTGGTTGCCTTCATTTTAAATCTGTCCTTTTCTTTTTTGAAAAATTGCTGCAGTCTCTTGAGTGCTTCTTTTCCATCTAAACTAAAAGGAATCCGAGGATAAAATACATGGCATTTGAGATGGAAGCCTGTGGTATCAAAAAGGACCTGAGGCTTCAGTCTCATTTTCAAAACATACCCCACTCAAGGAAGAGCAAGACAATGCCTTATCAACTACCATGCTTTTATTTAGATTTCAGAGCACACACTAATCAATCATGAAGGGAGAAATTACATTACACTACATTACATATTTCATCTACTCTAACTAGTCTCAGCTTTTGCAGAATTTATGGAATAAATTCTTTCTTTCAGGGAAGATAATTTAGGAAAGCACAGATTACAATCTGTTAGTAATACATGGTAGGAATCACTGGCTCCTGAATTTCAAGTCACTGATTTTTAAATTCCCAAATACTAGGACAATGGTGGCACCTTGACTGCCCAGTTGATGATTAAAATTCTCCTAAATATCCTTTCCGGATATTGGGGTGGTAGGGAGGAGAGAAGAGAGTGATATACTCATCATCCCACCCAGTACATCTAGCTCAAGATTCCTTTTCTCTTCAACCCTTAAACGTCTCAGTTTTGATCATTGCTATACTTCCTTTCCAAAGTGTGTTCTGTAATTAAACTTAATGAATAATGTCCCCTTCAACAAAGATTGTTGACGTTACTAGATTATTAGATCACATTACCAGATTAACCAAACCTGAATCCCAGAGTTTGCTGTATTAACTTGTAAAGACAAAGATAAGTTATAATCACTGATTTGTTCATGGAAAGCAACCACAAATTGAAGCAAGTTTTTTTTTTTTTTAATGTTACTTCTTATCTCCTAACACAATATCAAATGTCTCTATTCTGGGAAATTGACATTTTTTTCAAAAGAGAGAGCAATGTAATGTAAAATTTATCCTTTTAGTCACAATGTAGCAATTAGACTCAATTAGATTAGAATTGCTTATCACCACTTTCTCTATCAACCCTCCCAAAAGCACAGTGGTGTGTTAGGGGTTATTTCTTAAACCCTTGTCTTCTACAAACAGGAAACTTCATTAGCCAACAAAGCTAAGGAAGAAAAACTCACTCTATTGGGGAGGAATTGCTCTTTGTTTTGTAGACATCCTCATACATTTCTTCACTACTTTCTTCTGGAACTAAAGAGAAACCTATTTTATTCATTCAGATTAATAATTGACAAAAATGTTTGGATACCTACCAGATGCTAGGTACTTTGGTCTTTTTTTAGTTACATAGTTTTTATGGACACTTACACATGGTTTTATAGACATATGGCTAAAATCCTTAAACCTCTATACATAGAAACATAGAAATGTAAGACTTGCTAGTACTTACTTTAAAATACTTAAACATCTATACATACATAGAAATGAAAAGTAAGACTTGCTAGTACTTACTTTAAAATACTTAAACATCTATACATACATAGAAATGAAAAGTAAGACTTGCTAGTACTTGATTCTAAGTGTGCTCTGCTTTCACCAAACCTTTCACCCTCTCTCCTTTCCATGTTTAATATATAGCAATCAGAGTTTTCTAAGCAAGAGACATTGAGCTGAATGCTGGGAAAACAATGGAAAACGTGAAACACCTCGAATAATTTCTCCTTTCATAGCACGACCTTATTCTAGCCCAACACATATGCTTAATAGTTACAGATATATGTTGATTCTGTCCTAGTAATGGACTCTAATGGAAAGAACATTGAATTAAAGGTCTAAATTTTAAGGTTTAAAACTTCATTTTGTTTGTTTTTTTGGTACCAGGGATTGAATTCAGGTGCTTGAGCTTGTGCAGCAGGTGGCGAAACCACTGAGCTAAATCCCTGGCCCCAAAACTTCACTTTTAAGTAAAACACATAATGAACATAAAGAGTCTATTTCTCTGTGCTTCAATATCCTTTTTATATGAGGAAGTTGGATTTAATGTTCTCTAAGATTGGTTCTCCATCTAAAATTCTGTGATTCTAAGGAGAAAATCAACTGGAATAACATTTCATTATTCTTCACTATTTTTTCTTTTGACAAATAAAAATTGTACATGTTCATGTATATACCGTGATGTTTTGATAATTGTATATATCGCAGAATGACAATCAAGCTAATATACCTATTACCTCATATGCTTCTATTTTTGTGGCAAGAACCTTTAACAATCTACTCCCAGCAGTTTCCAAGTATACAATATCTTGTTATTAAATGTAATGCGATTGTCATGATTACTGTATAGCAGATCTCTGGATATTATTCCTTCTGTCTAAAAGACATTTTGTATCATTTGATAAATACGTCCTCATTTTTAATTTGTTCATTCATTCTTTCATTCTCTGGATATATATTTAAAAGATTTTCACATGCACCTGGCATTATGCTAGGGGTGGGAGAAACAGTGAACATAAAGACGCTAATAATCTAGGAAGGAAGACAGTTATTAATCAAAGGGTCACATAAATGTAAACTTACAACTGTGGAAAGCACTAGGTAAGAGAGGCCTATTAGGTATGGTAAGATTGTATACCAAGGTGGGCTGACAGCTGAGATCCAAAAAGATGAGTCACGTAGGCAAGAGGGCCCAGAGAGGAAAGCATTCTCCAAAGACAGTGGCAACGCCAACACCCTCGGGGGAGCATGGCAATTATGGAAGCGGACAGAAGGTGGGCAGGATGAACGCCAAGGGGAAGACTGACTAGTCTGAGATGAGGCCTCATGGGCCAGCCACGTAAGGCCTCCGGGCTATGTTCATCCTAGACAGATTGGAAGCCTTGAAGGCGTTTTAAGTAGAAACATTCCTCTAATCAGACTCGCAGTGTAGAGATATGAAGAAGGAAGCAGTCTCACAGTTTCACTGCTTTTTACCACAAGAACGCACTTTAACAGAATCTTCACCTGCCCTGTTCTAACTGCATCGGATAGCACATATCCTGGGACCACTTCTCTTAGCTCACCATCACCTCACCTAATTGGTATTATTAAAAAAATTGATAAACAAAGGGTGCTTGATTACTAATTGGCCATAGAAGCACTCTGCAGCTCCTAGGGGCTTTTCAGAAACGTCTTCCTAGACTTACCACTGTCTGAGGTAAATGAGCTGGAGAAATCCGACTTGGATCTGTGGGAGCAAAGAAACAAGACAGTCAATCTGTGGTACCTTTAAAGTCTCATCACATTCATCTCTGAAAGGCTGAAATGTACGTACATATCTGTCACGGGGCAATCCACATCGTCGTATGTGGCCTGCAACCCAGAACATGACTTAAAGGCCACCAGGTCCTGGGTGTGTGTCGTCAGCTCCAAACTCTCCACACCTGTAAGGAAGCAAGAGAACCCTCTGAGAACATCTTATCTTGTTAGCTACTGACATGAGTGTGTGCACACACATCACAAGAGCAAGGAGGGGCAGACTGAATGCACTAAACCTGGAATGGAACCTTGGGATGCATGCTCCTCTGACAATACTCTCCATCTTGCCAGTCTTCAGTTATGATTCTCTCTGAAGTTAAGGATAACAATAGCACTTACTCTTATGTGACCGTGGCAAGAATCAAATGCATATTTATGATGAATCCCAATCTCTAGTAAACCAATCATTACTATGGCTTTGATGGCTCTTTCTTCAATCTGCCCTCAAATGTTGAAGTCCTCTCCAGGATTTACCCTCAGAGCTTTTCTCTCAGTCTAAATGACTTACTCCAGTCTTGTGGCATCTTTTTCTGTGGCACAATTTCTCAGAGAAGTTGGTTGAACATGTCAATATATATTATTTGTTAATAGAATTAGCCAGAAGATAGTGTGGCAGGCTAAAGCATGTATTTGGATGTGTTTCCACAAGTAGCCGGTCTGCTAAATACAGGTGCTGGGTTATTTCTGAGAGCTATATATTTGTAACCGTAAAACTGCCACTTATCAGCAAGATTAATATTTAGAGCATGGGTGATTTGGAAACTTTAGTAACCAGAAATGAGAGATAATGTACCTTAAAAATAAGCAGTAGGCAAAGTGAGTTTATATATTAATTAAATGATCAGAACAATACAATTTTACCATCTGGCAAGAAGGAATTTAGTTTGCAAGCCCCAAACCATCTCAAAGAAGGCCAGCTCCCAAGACCAGAGGCTACTTCTCAAGGAGTTACCAGAATATTTCTCCAGCACAAAATAGATCCTAAACACATAGTTAAGATAGTTTTTTCTTCTTAATTCTTCTTTTTGGCATTTGAACTTTTGGAAAATGCAAAAGTTCATGACATTCTTTTAAAAACAGCTCTCAAGTTTATATCTTCAACTTGGGCATCTCTCATGAATTCCAGATACACCATCAACCTTCATACGCTTTCGATTTGGTTGTCTAAGCAGATGACATTCCAAACCAAACTCATGATTTCTCTTTAAGTTTTCTATAAAGTCTACCCCTTCTCAGAAAAAAAAGTCAATTCTATCCATTTTGTTGCTCAGGCTCCACACCTTGAAAACATCCCTGGTTCTTTTCTCTCTCACATCTCACCTCCAATCAATAGCCATCTGTCACCTCTACTTTCAAATTATACCTGAATCCAAACACTTCTCAACAAGTCCATCAGCTGGGCATGGTGGCACAAGACTGTAATCCCACCACTTGGGAGGCTGAAGCAGGAAGATTGCTGCAAGTTTGAGGCCAGCCTGGGCTACATAGTGTACTCAAGTCCAGCCTAAACTACACAGCAAGACCTTGTCTCAGAAAAAACCAAACAAAAACAAACAAACAAACAGAAAATCATAGTACCTTCCTTCAAACTACCATCAGCTCTCACCTCAGTCGCTGCAACACCTAACTGGTCTTCCTGGTTTATCCTGCATTCTCTTTTCAAGATAGCAGCTAGATGACCCTTTAAACAGCAAGTAGACCCCATCTTTCTTCCACTCAAAGCTTTCAGTGGTTTCAAAGATCTCGTTCAGAGTAAATGCCATAGTTCTTGCAGTGATCCTCAAGGCTCCCTGCTGTCTCTCTGGCCCCATCCTGTCAGGATCCCTTCTGCAGTCCTGCTGCTTAGTCCCCTGGGCCCCTCACTGCTTTGCCAACACACGCAGCACTCTCCTGGCTCACAGCACTTGCCCTTCTCTTCCTCTTTCCCAGGATAATCCTCTTCCCCCATTTTTGTTCATGTTGATATTATTACTCTTAGCTCATGTTTATGACATACAGTGTCTACATTCACTGAGGTTATTAGGTTCCGATACATGGCATATCTTTATTCTACTTATTTCTACTTCATCTGTCTCTTCTCTCCCTGGGTCTCCTGGACCTCTTCCCATTTGCAAGAGATCTATCCCATGTCCTTCTATCCTTCCTTTATTGTTCTCTTTGTTTATACTTTGGCTTACTCAAATGACAGATACCATATGGTATTCAAGTTTGTGTGACTGATTGATTTCACCTAACATTATATTTTCCAGAGGTATCTATTTTTGTACACGTCTCAAAAGTATCTTCCTTTATAGCTGAGTAGTATTGCATTAAGTATAGATGCTACATTTTCTTTATCTACTAGTCTATTAATTCCCAAGAATACATTTATATCTGTATTTCTCATCTACTTTAGGTCTTCAAGGTCATTCATGAACACTTGAAGGTTGCACCTTCACCAATTCCACATGCCTCCTTAATTCTCTTGCTTTATTTTTTTCACAACATTTACTACTATTCCACACCATAATATTTTATTATTTGTATATTTATGTCTCTTTTGATCAGCATGTAACCCCACAGGGGGCAGGAATTTTTGTCTTTCATTTGCTGCTAGAACAATGCTGGGCACATCAAAGAAACTCAAGTACTTTTTGACTATTGAACGATTTGAATTCACGTCCTTTCTAACTGAGTTTGGTGTCTTACAGGTAGAGTGTTTACTGGTACTTTTGAATTTGAGTATACTTATCATATCTTTTTATTTCATTCCATGTTTTCCCTTTTTCCCCACATTTTTAAACATTAGTGCATACTGGTCAGACAGATTAATGGATTTCATTTTGGTAGATTTGTGTAGAGCATAACTTTCGTTAATCATTCCCCCCACCACTCCTCTTGCCCCACTTTCCTCCCTCTTTTTACCTTTCTGGGGGTTTTGTTTCCAAAGTCAGCCTCGCCAGTGGTCCAGAGCGCCCCCTTGTGCTCTCTGTAAGCAATTATTCCCTCCTGCAGGGCAACCACCCTCCAGACTTTAAATACCAGAGGTAATTCATCTTTTAAACTTTTATTAATGCAGATATTCAGAATGTAATCTGTGGTGTTACCCACTTTCATTTGATATTACGTTTGTAAGATTCATCCATGGTGTCGCATTTAGTTGTAATTTATCCATTCCCAGGGCTCTGTCTTCTATTACTCGAACATAGCACAGTGTCTTTACACTGTGTGAACATTCTACTTTTGATGACATTTGGACAGTTTGCAGTTTGGGGCTATTACAAAATATTCTTCCATGAACATCTTGTGTGTGACTTAAAGTAAGCTTTTCTATTGGGTATATACACAGCATACAATGCCTAGGTTTAGGACTGTATGTGCGCATGCTTGATTTTAATACTGCCAGTTTTTCAAAATGCTTGTCCCAATTTCCAATCCCTGAAGACCGTCAGAGTTCCCGTTGGTGATATCTTCACTATCACTTGACAGTTTTTCTGTTTTTTAACGGATCTATTTTGATTGGCAGATAGGTTTCATTTGCATTTGAGAGTTAATAAGGTTGAGTTTCATATTGTATTTGCCTTTCAGTATGCTCTTTGGTGAAGTATCTATTCAAATATTTTCCCAATTTCATTATATTTCTTTTTTAGTACTGATTTCTATCTCATATTTTCTGAATTTAAGGATATTTATAGAAGAGTTATATATTCCCTACATGAGTCTTTGGTCAAATCTGTAACTTATGGAAGTATTTCTCCTATTTTGTGACTTGCCTTCTCACTCTTTCAGTTGACTCATTTAATAAATATTCCTAGCTCTTCTAACTCTCTTCAGGATAGAGCAAACTAATATTGTTACCTTCTTCACAATTAAAAATCTTAAAATGTTTTGACTTTGATCACTTTCTCAACATTTGTGCTATTTCTGTTCAATATTTTAATCTCCCCTCAATGGGACATTATTATTATTTTATTAATACTTTTGTTAAGCTTTATTCTTACACTCAAAACTTGCTATCTGGGGGGGCTGGGGATTTAGCTCAGTGGTGCCGCTGCCTACCTCGCAAGCGCAAGGACCCGAGTTCGATCCCCGGTACAAAAAACCACAAAAATAAAAACAAAAACAAAACTTGCTATCTGGGATTATTTTCCTTCTGCCTTTATCAAGTACATGCTTTGGACTTTTCTTCAATACATTTTAGTCAATGTAATGGTTAATGTGAATTGTTAACTTGATGGACTTGAGAGACTCCTAGGAGATCACAGCTCATTTCTGTGTCTCTAGGTGGGCCATGGGGATATGACCTTGGGGACTATATCCAGCCCCTGACCCCTTTTCTCTTCGATGCTTTTCTCTTGCTCTCTGCCTCCCGGATGAGATGAGTTGAGCAGCATTCCTCTGCCATGCCCTTCCACCACAGGATTTCTGCCTCAGAGCCAGCTAACCATGGACCGAAACCCCTGAATCCGTGAGCTAAAATATACCGTTCTTTAAGTTGTGTGTGTCAGCATTTTGTCCTTCCAACAGTCAGAAAACTGTACTGGAGAAGTGGCGTTGTTGCTGTGACTGTACCTGGACTCGTGGTCTGGAACTGACTTGTGGGAGGAGTTTGGAAGAGTTGGAAGATGAGGGCTAGAGAAGCCCGACGGTGCTGTAAGCAGATCCTGATGGGCAATTCTGGTGGGAGCTAGAAGCCCAGCATGCGGATAGGGAAGTCAACAGTGAAGACGGGGCACATGGAGTTTCAGCGGGGAGTCAGGACTCTGATGGGAATCAGACTAGGGACCCTGTACATCGTGTTTGAGCAACACATTTGTCTGCGTTTTGTTCACGTCCTAAAACTGTGGGCAGCTGAGTGTACAGGTGACAGACTGATCTGACAGTGGAAATCTCAAGGCAGCACAGTGTTTCAGCAGTGGTATCATTATTGCTGGCTGCTTTTAGCCAGAGTTACGAGAATTGGGAGAACAAAGCACAGCAGATAGGTTTGACAAACCATCTGGCCAGAAGAGAAGTGTGTGTAAAGATAGAGCCAAAGCCAGTTTCTGGCTGAACTGAAGAGATGAACACTGCATGCATGCACACCCATGTTTATAGCTGCACAGTTTATAATCACTACATTTTGGAAACAGCCCATCAATAGATG